CCACTCTCACCCCCCCCCCCCCACTCTCATCCCCCCACTCTCAACCCCCCCCACTCTCACCCCCCCCCCCCCTCAACCCCCCCCCACTCTCACCCCCCCCCACTCTCAACCCCCCCCACTCTCACCCCCCCCCCACTCTCACCCCCCCCCCCCCACTCTCAACGCCCCTCCACTCTCACCCCCCCCCCACTCTCACCCCCCCCCCCCCACCCCACCCCCCCCCCACTCTCACCCCCCCACTCTCACCCCCCCCCACTCTCCACCCCCCCCACTCTCAACCCCCCCCCCCCACTCTCACCCCCCCCCCCCCCCCACTCTCACCCCCCCCCCCCACTCTCACCCCCCCCCCCTTACCCCCCCCCACTCTCACCCCCCCCCCCCACCCCCCCCTCTCACCCCCCCCCCCACTCTCACCCCCCCCCCACTCTCACCCCCCCCCCACTCTCAACCCCCCCCCATTAAACCCCCCCCCACTCTCACCCCCCCCCCCCCACTCTCACCCCCCCCCCCCCACTCTCACCCCCCCCCCACTCTCACCCCCCCCACTATCACCCCCCCCCCCCACTCTCAACCCCCCCCACTCTCACCACCCCCCCCCACTCTCAACCCCCCCCCATTAAAACCCCCCCACTCTCACCCCCCCCACTCTCACCCCCCCCCCCACTCTCACCCCCCCCACTCTCACCCCCCCCCCCACTCTCACCCCCCCCCCCACTCTCACCCCCCCCCCCACTCTCACCCCCCCCCCACTATCACCCCCCCCACTCTCACCCCCCCCACTCTCAAACCCCCCCCCCCCACTCTCAACCCCCCCCATTAAACCCCCCTCCACTCTCACCCCCCCCCACTCTCACCCCCCCCCACTCTCACCCCCCCCCCCACTCTCAACCCCCCCCCCACTCTCACCCCCCCACTCTCACCCCCCCCCCCCACTCTCACCCCCGCCCCCCACTCTCAACCCCCCCCCCACTCTCAACCCCCGCCCCCCACTCTCAACCACCCCCCACTCTCAACCCCCCCCCCCCACTCTCACCCCCCCCACTCTCAACCCCCCCCCACTCTCACCCCCCCCACTCTCAACCACCCCCCACTCTCAACCCCCGCCCCCCACTCTCATCCCCCCCCCACTCTCAACCCCCCCCCCCACTCTCACCCCCCCACTCTCAACCCCCCCCACTCGCATCCCCCCCCACTCTCAAACCCCCCCCCCCCACTCTCACCCCCCCCCCCCACTCTCAACCCCCCCACCCTCACCCCCCCCCCCCCCACCACTCTCACCCCCCCCCACTCCCAATCACCCCCCACCCAACCACACCGCACTGAATGACGTCATGTCGTCGAGTCCAACAGTTCACGCCCACGTGCCCGCGTCCGAGTAAGCAATTACGTCACCAGCAAATACGTCACCAGCAATTACGTCACCCGTGGCCGCCGCACTAAATTCCAAAAGCGATTCAACACGTGGTAGCAGTAGTCGTGATTTCGCGACCAATATTCATAGTCGAGAGTTTTTGGGAAAGATCGAGTAAATTATATGTTATATTAAATAAATACTAAATAAAATTAGAATACATTATGTTAAATAAAATAATAAATGAAATCTTACGTTAAATATTATTATACATATTGTTAAATATCGTGCTATTTAATATTTAGCATTTTGCAAGCGAAAAGCAGACGGCGAAGTGATATTCATTGCGTCCATTCGTGCGCACTTTTTAAGGCCGCGGTGACACAGACCTATTTCATTTAAAGGTTATAATCCCTTGTTCATCATGACGTCGTTTTTACTTCTATGTCTAAACAGCGTTGCGGAGATCACGTGACGTGAGGGTTCTGCCTTTGAAGTGAGGGTTGTGATTTATGTGTAATTTATTATTTTATCTTTAGACGTGACTTAACCGAAAGAACCAAATAATAATTCCTGCAGTCACGAAAGCTCCAAAATTAAGATTGAACCACTTCTACGGGGAAGTTTTGAGCTTATCCTTTTTTTCTCTCTCTCTTCTCTCTGCCTGTGTCTTCTCTTTGGAATGTTCACACTTAAATTCTAACTTAGCAATCTTTGAAATACGTAATCAACCAGGCTATGCGTTAATTGTGTGTTGACCGACCCTCTGTGTTGTATTACATTACATTTCGATATTTTGCTAGGTTATTGAATTTTAGTTTGTCCTCCTGATTTTCAGACTTGCTTGCCGTGTCATCGCACTTGCAGAACCTTGTTTTGTTGTCCACTCATTGATATGCAAATGTTTTCTCTAACCCCCTCCCTCTCTCTGCCTCCTCCCCCCTCTGTCTATTTAAGGCCACCCCACAGAGACGATCACCCCTCTCTGGTTCCTGTGTTGCTCCCTCTACGTATCTTGGTGATATCTGTCTGCTTATATGTCTGTCTATAGTTTTCTGGTTAGATTTTATGTCGCTATTTCATTATACCTGATGATGATTGCTTGTGTTGCAATCGAAAACGTCGTATGCTATTATTTAATTTAATTTATTATTTTATCTTTAGACGTGACTTAACCGAAAGAACCAAATAATGAGGGTTGTGAGTTGACGCCGAGTAGGGGGGAGGAGGCGACTCGCCCCCCCCCCCCCCATGAGGAGTGACGTCACTATTTGAAGGACGTCACCTGCTCATGATTATTAATGAGTGAATTGACGTGGATTGTGACGTCATGCGCAAGACACACAGACATTCTTGGCTCATTATAATACTTAATTATACAATATAGTATTAAATATATAATTTAATATATTATTTAATATCTTATTAAATGTTTGTCATTTTATATGTTATTAAATAATATCAATATATTCTAGATTTGAAATTTTCGTTACTGCAAGGGTCCATACTCTTTGGTTCTTTCGGTAAAGTCACGGAGGTGAAAAAAGAATAACCAATTAAAAAACTTTTTTTTTTCACCTACGTAATTTTACCGAAAAAACCAAAGAGTTTCCTCAATATATGATCATTTAATATATTATTTAAAATATAACTAAATATAATTTGATTTAATACATTATTGTTTAATATATTCTTATTTCATAAATGATCTAACCCAGAATCCTCTATTATAGATTCCTAATTCACAATGTTGTTGAGCCACAGAAACTACAAAAACAAACAAAAACGACAGCGCGCACGTGACCGGACGTGACGTAAGAGAAAGCGCCGACAAAGAATTTAATTAAAAAAAACTCCGGGACCGGAAGCCAACACCAACCGACGCACGTGACCGGACGTGACGTAAGACAAAGCGCCGACAAAGAATTTCATTTAAAAAAACTCCGGGACCGGAAGCCAACACCAAACGACGCACGTGACCGGACGTGACGTAAGACAAAGCGCCGACAAAGAATTTAATAATTTAAAAAAAACTCCGCGACCGGAAGCCAACACCAACCGACGCACGTGACCGGACGTGACGTAAGACAAAGCGCCGACAAAGAATTTAATAATTTAAAAAAAACTCCGCGACCGGAAGCCAACACCAACCGACGCACGTGACCGGACGTGACGTAAGACAAAGCGCCGACAAAGAATTTAATAATTTAAAAAAAACTCCGCGACCGGAAGCCAACACCAACCGACGCACGTGACCGGACGTGACGCGTCCACACCACACACACAACTTCCTGTGCGTGGCGCTTTCCCGGCGTGCCTTGCGCCACCCTTCTCTGTTGATCGTCACCGCCCGCGCCGATCGCCTCAAGGGAGAAAAAATTCACGGCAGCGCTTCTTCCTCGGCTGCTGCTGCTGTTGTTGTTGTTGTTCCTCTCTCAACCCCACACCCACCACCTCGCCCTTGAGCGGATCACGGCGATACGGGGTGATTTGAGCGCGAGTTCGATAACATCGGGCGAGTTGAGGCTGAGCGCCGGTGAGAGACTTGCGCTATGGAGGAGGACATTCTCACCACGCTCAAGATTCTCATCATCGGAGAGAGCGGCGTTGGCAAGTCCAGGTGAGGTGGTGGTAGTGGTAGTGGGTGGTGGTTTGGTTGTTTTGTTAGCCCAGGGCGAGGTCAAATCCTGCTTGCGGGGGTTGGCTTAGCCCTGTGGTGTTCGTTGCAAGGCCCGCGGGTCACTGGCGGGGCCCATGGTGGCCTTCAGTGCGGGTCAGAGGTCGCAACCGGGTACCCGATACCCGGCTACCCGTACCCGGCCGGGTACCGGGTACGGGTACCCGTTTGCGACCCTGGTGCGGCCGGGTACGGGTAGGCCGTGAGTCACTGGTGAGTCACTGTCACTCATTTCGGGTAGGGTACGGGTAGGGTACGGGTAGGGAACGGGTACCCGTATCCAGCCGGGTACGGGTACCCTTTTGCGACCCTGGTGCGGCCGGGTACGGGTAGGCCAAGAGTCACTGGTGAGTCACCGTTTGTCACTCATTTCGGGTAGGGAACGGGTACCCGTATCCCGCTGGGTACGGGTACCCATTTGCGACCCTGGTGCGGCCGGGTACGGGTAAGGAATCAAAACCCGTTTGCGACCTCTGGTGCGGGTCCCTGACAAGACACAAACAGTGGCAGCAACAAAACAAAACAAAGATTATAGTGACAACACCTTCCCCCCCCCCCCCCCCCCCCAGCATTATCATCATCGTCGTGTTGATGTCACACCCCAATGGTTTCGAATGGTGTGGCGGACCTCACACTGGTGATGTCTTGTCGGTGAAAGTTCCACCACCCCCCCCCCCCCCCCTCTGAAAATTAGTGAAGAACACACTGGCTTTGTTTAGTACGTCTCTCGGGTCAATAACATGAGTGCGGATTTGTGGGAAGTCAGAAGCGGTTGCCCTATAGATAGGTTCGCCCCCGCCATGCGAATGTGGAATTTGCTTCAATGGCTCATTCGAGTAAGAAATCACTTTTGACTTTGGTTTTTTTCTTGAGATGGGGGCTTAGTTTATACAATGTGTCAGTCATCTCACTTAACCCCGAACACATGGGTCTGCCCCATGACCTGTCACCCGGGCATTCTGCACTTCGCGTGGCGGCCTTGGTGAAAATGAAAGTGCGTCTCGCCTGGCAAGATGCCCTGTGGTGACGCCATCGTCACTCTGTTTGCTTTTGTCGATGTCGCAGTTCGACTCGTAGCGGAGTGTTGTTGGTAAAGGCTTACGAGTTTGTGATCATTGGTATCTATAGAGTAAAAATTGCAGGAAGAACTCGTGCCGATGGTATTGATGATGAGCGGTGGCGTCTGCGGCGGCGGCGGCTTATCGAGACGTCCGTACACCAGTGGATCGATGACAAAGGGCTGATGATGATTGTTGTTAGTGGTGCAGTATCAATCGTAGAAATGACAAAATTGCCGATAACTGGGACAATGGAAACAACGCCCGTATCAATGACAAGGATAATAATACGACTAACACTAATATTGACAACTAGTACGCTCCACTTGTGTCAGGTATAATCGCAATAAGCATTAACAGCAGTAGTAACATTGACAACAAGAATATCAATAACAAGGATAATGTCAACGAATTATAACAATATTCATCACCTGAAAATGATATTATTCACAATTGGAACACAAACGCTCACAATAACAGTGATAACGTGATCATTATAATAAGTGGTGTAACAATTGCAACATAATAACTACGTCAAGAAGGATGACCACGTACCATTGCGATTATAACGCAAATGTATGCAGGAAAGCTTCGCTGAGTCTCAAGATTAGTTTTCAGGAGGAGGTCCAACTGCACACTGGGCTTCCTGGTCGATTCCATTTGTGAGGATTTATCTTTGTCCGATAGAAACCCGAAGATTATTGGACAAATTGCCACCTCACTGCATTCGAGGGGGAACGACACTCAAAAGATCGGGGCAGATTGGTTCACTCTAAAAACTCAGTCCAGTGAGTGGACCAACTCTTAAACGGCGTTATATCACTCGGGATGTGTAACAATAAGCATTACAAACAACAGTGGTTAAAGCAAGGTTAATGGTGACAAAACGAGACGTGGATAAGAGGAATACCAACAACTCTTAACATTCATCAAAACGCTGCTAATGAGTAGTAACGGTGACGATGATCATACTTAAGTATTTACAATTACTGTATAACAATGGTAACACAGTAACAGGCGAAAGAAACCATCAGATAATATAACAGCAACAAGTATAACCAATAACGGTAAGAATACCGGTAAGAATACCGTAATAACCAAGATAATGATAACGGATTAATAATGATCACAAGAAGAATAAAAGTTACAAGGATTATTATGCGAACAAAGATGACATGGGATAATAACGATTACTACACAGTACAGTATATGTAAATAGAATTAACAATGCTCATTTGTGGCCAGGTCGCTTTTGAAAAATAAGTGAATACCTCGGTGGGCTTTGTCTAGTAGGATGGGGATAGTTTAGTTGTTGTATTTGTTTGTATTCTTGGTTCTTTCGGTAAAGTCACGTAGAAGGGAAATAATAAAATAATATAGATATAAAACAATAAAAATTCTCACGACGTTTCGACTGCAACACAAGCAATCATCATCAGGTGTGAAATCCACAAATTTTCTTGCTGTGGATTTCACACCTGATGATGATTGCTTGTGTTGCAGTCGAAACGTCGTGAGAATTTTTATTGTTTTATATTTTTATCATTTTATTATTTCCCTTCTACGTGACCTTTACCGAAAGAACCAATAATATGAATCCCTGCAGTCACGAAAGCTTTAAATCAAAATTTAGTATTTGTTTGTGTTTGGGTGATTTTCTTACCTGTCTTGTACTTTGCACTCCTATCGTGTTTTTGTATTGTTTGTTGTTGTATCGTTCTTACCTATCCCGACTGTGGACACCTGTGAAAAAGAGCTTTATAGCTCATCGGATTCCTCCAGTATAAATATTCTGAACAACATCAAGTACAACAATGACGGGAGTGGCAGTTAACGAACGAAACGCGTCCTAGAGGACATTCTTTTAAGGAGATCGAGCGATGGAACCAAGTCATGTACAAAGTGCGAGGTGGATTCTCACATAGCGGAGTCGTGAAGGATGGGGAAGGCTTGGGGGGAGGGTTGCAGCCAGCAGTGGATTGAGTGGATTGACCGTCGCTGGTGGTGATGAAGATAACGCCACTAACGAGTATAATATTTGTAAGTTCAAGTTCATTTATTAGGTATAGCCCTGTGAGCCATTCGGCTCTTGAATCGGGTGCAACCGCAACAAACAGAAAACAAAAACATGAACAAGAAAACATCTTAAAGTGACTATGTGCAAACAGAAAATCCAAGAAAAGACAGCAAAATATTGTAACAAGGTTAACAGCGAATGGGAGGCGCTTATCTCTGTGTTTATAGTCTTAGAGTCCTAAGACATAAGGCTGGTTAGATAAATAAATTGTTTAGATTTATTTGTATGTATTTTTGTAAGTGATTTATTTATATTTCCTACACTTTGCACTTCTATCGTGTTTTTGTATTGTTGGTTATCGTGACGTTTTGACCCGGTGCCCCTCCTGGACATCTGTGAAAAGAGCTTTATAGCTTAACGGATTCCTGCTGCAGTTTAAATACAGTTTCTGATTCTGACTTGCTCCAAGCAGTACTTGTGTTTATCGACCTCGAAAGGATGATGGGAGGAGAGTCGAGCCTGGGACAAGGAATTGAATTCACACTCTCACTACAACAACAGCAGTAGCAAAAATATGTATGTATGTTGAACTTCTTTTGCACCTTACGTCACTAAGCGTGCTAATCAGAGGTGCGAGATAGTAGCACAAACTTTGGGTGGTTGTCATCCAGCTTTGGATTTTGACCACGACTGATGACAAGAGGACGTACAAAATCCATGGCACATTTTAACGTGGGCCGAATCGGATACTCAATTTTTTGTTTGAACACATAGAGATGATGGGAAGAGTCAATGCCTGACCAGGAATTAAACTAAAACATTTTTAGTTTCACCAGGTAAATAAAAATAGCTATATAGTCCTTTTTTAGAAGTGACCCGGCTATCGTAAATGACGGCTCGACGATGTGGAAATGTATAGCAGCAGCCAAATATTCTGAACGTGTGTTTCTAAATGTGGAGGGAAAAAGCGGGAGGACCTTGAGAAACATCCACACGACAACATGGACAAGGTGCAAACCCGACATACAACAGGCGTCAGCATCATGATCGAACCTATGACCTCCTGTATACCAGGCGAGGTAGTTAGCATCTCGTCCCCTCGGCGCCCCTCTGACCAGCATGATGAAGTATAGTAAACAAAACCTCTCCGTGACCGACATGGCGTAAGAAGGGTCTTCATCCAGGCGATGGAATTAAGCGCGAGATGCAAAGTAGAACGTATATAAAACATTATTAATACGTTGTGCGGTAAATTTTTATTTAAAGATTTCGTGACTGCAGGGATTCATTCTTGGTTCTTTCGGTAAAGTCACGTAGAAGGGAAATAATAAAATAATGAAATATTAAACAATAACATTCTCACGACGTTTCGACAGCAACACAAGCAATCATCATCAGGTGTGAAATCCACAGCAAGAAAATGTGACTTTAAAAAAAAAAATTGCTGTGGATTTTACACCTGATGATGATTTCTTGTGTTGCAGTCGAAACGTGAGAATTTTATTGTTTAATATATATATATTTTTTAATTATTATTTCCCTTCTACGTGACTTTACCGAAAGAACCAAGAATACGTTGTGTGTTGTTACGAAGTATTTATAGGCAGTCAATGTTTACCACGATTATGGTGACAGTGTGTTCAGCTCACATGCCTATGCCTGTCAACCTAGCCCCCGTTTAATTTTAGATGCTCGGAGTCATACAGTGTCTATTGAGGTTGCTTATGAGTCTCATGCTCTCATACAGTTCAGTCTCTCTAAGTTTGGGTTGACTTAACCCAAGTCGTCGATACGAGTCTTGCTCTTGACAACACACACACATGACAACGCAGGTGCGCGCAACATGAAGAATCTATCTTCTTGGTTCTTTCGGTAAAGTCACGTAGAATGGAAATAATAAAATAATAAAAATTCTACATAATATAATAATTCTCGCGACGTTTCGGCTACAACGCAAGCAGCCGTCCTCGGGTGAAGAATGAAACACCACCAAGCTTGGAGCGTATATTTAAGCTGGGTATACGCTCCAAGCTTGGTGGTGTTTCATTCTTCACCTGAGGACGGCTGCTTGCGTTGTAGCCGAAACGTCGTGAGAATTATTTTATTATGTTTTATTTTTATTATTTTATTATTTCCCTTCTACGTGACTTTACCGAAAGAACCAAGAAGATGAATCCCTGCAGTCACGAAAGCTTTAAATGAAGAATCTAATCTCGATTTAAACCTTACGTGACTGCAGGGATTCATATTCTTGGTTCTTTCGGTAAAGTCAAGTAGAAGGGAAATATTATTATGTATGACTCCGAGCATCTAAAACTTTACCGAAAGAACCAAGAATAAGAATCTAATCCTTAAGCTTGTTTGAGATGCTTCAGTAATGTTAGCACATTTGGCGTACAGGCGTGGTTAAGGTGTACAGTAATGATCTTGTTGTTCAGAACAAAATAAACTTTGCCAGAAGGATGTAGTTGTTGGGGGTGAGTAGTGTGTCAGTGTATTTTAATCACCGGCATGACTTACTTGGCAAACATATTGAGTCCTGTTGAATCATTGTCGACGAGGTGTGTTATGCAATCCCTTATTACTCAACCATCGTTGTCGTCGTCATCATCATCGTCGTCTATTACTCACTACACAGAGCCGTATTGAATTGAAATGCAATGCCAAGCTGTTGTGTCTAGATAATTGAAGTATTTTCTGACACAATCGGTCCACCACCTCTCTCACGTCTCACTTGCCGGGTTTCCCAAAAATGTGGTTCTAGCACTCCACTGCTCGTAATCTCCACAGCGTGTGGAGGTGAAAGACTAATACTGGCCAAATAAATGCGTCTGCCCGTTTACATTTAGGGCAAGCGTGCGGTATGCATGCGTCTGCAAAAAATACCACCGCGTGCGAATAGGTGTGTGGAGTGCTGCCAAAGCTGAAGGTATTTAGCCTCTAACCTGCAGTCCAATGGGTCTTGACCCACGATGGGTCTGTGTCTGTTGGTGGCTAAAAAGCATGCAGGGAGTTTTGACGCCGTTGTGTAAAGTGATAAGTCAAGTCGTCGAGAGGACAGCCACTGATACTTGTGTACAGTGTCTCTGGAGGGCCTTTTGAGAAGTGCCAGTGCCACGAGTTGACGCGGCGATTTTCGCGTGGATACAGCAATCCGTTCCATGAAGTACCACACAAGCTTCCAATTGCATCATGTTCTGTGACATGCAGGAAGTGACCTTTAACACGCATTTTAAAGTTTACGTTTGATAAGAAGACTGCGTTGAGGTTTGTGTAAAAAAAGAAAGTATATTGACCAAAGATGCACGGCGACATTAATGCTCGTGATTTCATTGAGCGGTAGAAAGCGGAGCACACGGATAAGAATAAACGCGCTGATTGATGACATTTTGTAACGGTTATTAAACGTCAGTCTGCTTGGACGGCACCCGTCGCTGGCCGATGGTCAGCAAAGATGTCGGAGCGGCATCGCAGGAGTGGAACGTTCACAGGAGGAGGACGCGTACTGAGGAGGCGGAGCATTGAAATCGGTTCGTGCGCGAGGTGGATTGTTAGGTTTCAGGATTGTGAGAGATGGGGATGCCAATAGTGGATTGTGACCCATGGCCGGGCGTGGTGCTGGCCCCCCCCACCGCCCCCTCCTCGTGTGCCACAGTGTCGGCCTTCATAGGTGCTCGCTAACAGCACTTGCCTCAACAGTCTGTTAAGGTTATACGAGGTGGGGAGGGATCTTTGTTTTGTCTTTTGGTAGTTGTGATAGTGGTCATAGTGGTGACTTTTGATGTTTGTAGTTGTAATGAGGGCAGACAGAGTTACGCTGACTCGCAGATTGTGCCTTTAAAACACGGCTGGGTCAGTAGTGGTGGTGGTTGGTCGTGGTGATGGTAATTGTGGTTAAAGGCTGTTGTGCTTTGACAGCAATTGGAACTTCGATTTAAAGCTTTCGTGACTGCAGGGATTCATATTATTGGTTCTTTCGGTAAAGTCACGTAGAAGGGAAACAATAAAATAATTTAAAAAACGTCGTGAGAATTTTATTGTTGTATATTTTTATTATTTTATTGTTTCCCTTCTACGTGACTTTACCGAAAGAACCAAAAATAGCAATCAGAACTTTAAAGAAAATGTCTATTTTATATGGACCTGTAAATTGACGTGCATGAATTTTCACGCACTGCCCCCTACCGACAACGCGGACTAGCAGCAGAGTCTACAGCGTGGTCCAGATGTTTTGTGACCCCCCTCAAATTGCTGACAGACCTCTATGCTTTTTTTCCTTTGCCAATTAATTTCTGTTTTCACACCGATTGATATGTAAGTAAACACATGAAGTTTTAGAGAATTAAATGGGGGTCACAAGACATCTAGACCACCGTGTACAACTCTTAAGCATGGTGGCCACCCATCGAACAAGACTCACGGGCTCAAAAACACACAGATGATTTGCAACGAATTGATTTCCCTACGCTTGGTTCAATATGGGTGTCGTGAGAATTGTTTTTAATCGATGCAGTCATTACATGCCCCGATGCCTCGTTTGTCTGGGGGGCGTCCTGTCGCAAGCTGCCGTTGTGCGGGGCGATCTCGTGGGTTGACGATGTGCATCACGTTCGAATGTTGTTGTTCTTCTTCTTTCAGCCTGCTCTTGAGGTTTACGGATGACACGTTTGACCCCGAGCTGGCTGCGACGATCGGTAAGGAAATAAAAATATTTAAAATCAAGGAAGAAAAACCATGCCTTTTCACGGTTACCGCAACACTTTCTCATATGCTTTTGCCCTCGGATGTATTTAATTCGAGATAACAACAGTGTGTTTTAAGACTGTGGTTCTCAACCGAGGGTACGCGGACCCCTGGCCATACGTGGGGTGGTTTATAAATGTGTATCGCCATTATTAAAGCGCAACGGAAAAGTTAGCCTGCTACTACGCCGATAGGTCAACAGGGGGCAGATGGGAGGCTTAGGTTGAGTGGCAGTTAAGCCAAGGTCACCCCCCCCCCCCCTGGTTATCTCGTAACCAGAGGGGTGTACCCCGGCTAGGGGGCGGAGTGAGCCCCGACTCGTGTATAAAAGCCGGTCCCCTCAACGGGACCAGCAGTTGTCGCCCACTCTAAGAACTGAAGACATCTCAAGCCCATGGGGGAAGAGGACACGCTAGCCGGATATCGGGTGGAAGGGGCCTTACCCCTTTGCGTCAGGGAAAACTGTTATTGCGTTTATTGTTAATAAACGTGCAGCCTCTAAGAGGAAGTCTCCGACAAGTTTGTACCCACTACAAATGTGTGAAATTATATCATACATTAGAATAATTGGTGCATTAATCACGTTGTATAAATATGCCAATATAAAATAACTACGGCAAGTGTTTAATCCTCACGGTAACCTTGAACGACATAAATGATCTTTTTAAACTCATTGACCGTACACAATGTGGTTTCCAAGAGTAGCCGGCGAGCGTGAACAAATTACGTCACGCGTGCAGAGCGTCCGTTGATTTATTTTTAATTCGCTTGCAGTTGCTTGGCTAAGTTAGTCGTACATTTATTTTTAAGAACCACGTTGGGTCGGGTAAAGGGGGGGGGGGGGTGGTGGTTGATGGTTACTCGGTTGAAACAAAATTCAACAAGTCGCCAAAAAAAGGTTGAGAAACCGCTGTGTTAGGAGGATATACAACGAGATGACATCACGGAATGACATCACGTGAATGACATCATCGGGAAGGGGAGGTGGTGGGCACCATGACAACCGTAATGTGGCTGCCAAGGATCTCGTCGCCTTCAGCGCCGTTTTTAATTGCCACGTTTTGGCCCCCCCACACCCTTTGATCACTTTGGCTGGTTTAGTTGTCTGCATTTGGCTCGGGCATTCAAGCCATTACTTAGAAACCCCCGAGACAAAGCCTTTGTCAGTGCAGACCTTGTGTTTAATTCTGTGGGGTTGAGCGGGGGGTACTCAGTGTTTTGTGGGTCTTTTTTCTTCCAGGTGTTGATTTTAAAGTGAAGACAATCGCTGTGGATGGAAACAAAGCAAAGCTCGCTATTTGGGTGAGTCGCCAGAGCGCTCGCTCGGCTCGTTGTCGCACGCCATCCATTTGTGGAAATTAAGGGTGGATTTCTGTTCACGTTCAAGCGTTGTGCTGTGCAGGCAATTCAGTAATATCGTAGGTGATCCTACTGCACGGGTGTTCGTGGTCGCGCTGTTTCGCTCTCGACGCATGGTTGTTTTCAGATTGTACCGCATGTTCATTTGGACGTGATGCCTTTCGATTCCACGTGCTGGTAGCTTCTTCAAGGACCTGAATAAAGTTGGTGGTGAGATTGGACAGTTCCTAACCAATCTCCCAGGACGTGGAACAGAATGTCAAGACATCGTGCCAAACGATGGCACGATGTCTTGACATGCAACCCAAAAACAAATCAGAGAGCGATACTACTTAATATACTGCTTGCTGCTGGAACAGCAATAAGGTACACTGTCGTTTCGATTTAAAGCTATCGTGACTGCAGGGATTCATCTTCTTGGTTCTTTCGGTAAATTCATGTAGAAGGAAAATAATAAAAATAAAACATAATAAAATAATTCTCACGACGTTTCGGCCACAACGTAAGACAGACCTGTTCTCCACCTGAAGACGGATACTTGCGTTGTGGCCGAAACGTCGTGAGAATTATTTGATTATGTTTTATTTTTATTATTTTATTATTTTCCTTCTACGTGACTTTACCGAAAGAACCAAGAAGATACACTGTCGTTGTTTTGCATGTTAAAAAAAACTGGTCAGTGGACATTATGTTGCATTGCAAATGTTCTTTGTCTTGCAGGCTAGTCTTCTTTACCCCGGACATGTTACACATTTGTAAAGCTCAAATGTACTTTTAATCGGGTGAAACCACATGGCAAGATCACCTCCTACTGGCAGATTACATTTATCTGTGTAACTGTAGCGGCCTTTGCGATTAGCCTCGCGCGATTAAGAAGGGTCGAATATGAAATGTAAGAAATGCGGTGACGGTGCAGCCTTGTTTTGCAATTGCTTGCTTTCGCGCGGCACTTTGAATTTCTCCCGCACAGGACACGGCTGGCCAAGAGCGCTTTCGCACCCTGACGCCGAGCTACTACAGAGGAGCGCAGGGGGTGATTCTCGGTGAGTCCGTGCTTCCGTGCTACACAATGTGTGTGGGCAAAGTGAGTCTGCAATAATTCGGCCCTTTTTTAAATCCTTTATATTAAGTTCACTTGCTTGCTTGCGCGCTTACGACCGTGCAAATCTTTCGGTCGTTTTTTAACCCACTTCCCGTGATCCAATCGAGCTGACATTTGGCACACAGACTCGTTGTGCGTTTTTTCCAAAATGTTTAACATTTTAGGAAAATTTGTTTATATTTAATTACCAATTGCTTAATGGTGGCAGGCAATCATCTGACCCATAGGTGGCAGCCATCTCAAGCCAGAGGACGAGAGGACTCTAGCCGCCACGCATATAAAGGATTTATAGTGAAAAACTTTGTTTTTACGGGTACATTTTTTTGTCCTTCCCCCACAAATCCGATGAGCACGGTTGGCTACGAATGGTGTGGAAAAAGTTGCACATACAACCTAGATGGTTGCCTATCCAAGCGCCATCCATACCGAAACCCCGCTTAGCTCCTGAGATCTGATGAGATTGGGCACATTCCTAGTGATTTGGTGGTAATCTTTGGTTAAGGAACACGCAAGCTTAAAAAAAAAACAGCTCTTGTAGCTACGCGGGCTAAACTGAATGAGTTTGTGAACATCAACAATGGTTATGTTATGGATCATAGCCTCAGATGCAGAAGAGGTGGCATCCCATTGTGTATGGCATGCCACATGTGGCGAGATGTTACGACCCCTAGCCTGGTATGCGGGAACTTGTGGGTTTGATCCCGACCCTGACTCCTGCTGTATATTTGGAGTTTGCATGTTCTCCCCGTGGTCGCGGTGATTTTTTTTCTCCGGGTCCTGCGGTTTCTCCCTCCGCGATTAGAAATATGCGTTTTAGAGTATTTGCCTGCGATAAATGTACACGTGAAAAGCCACTTCCTTGAGCTATCATTTGCAGCAAGGTTTCTTCTGAAAAAGAGCTATATAGATCCGTGGGCCTTACCTGGTCAAATAAAAAGTAGGTTTAAATATTTGAATACATTTCCTGGTCAGGCGTTGACTCTCCCATCATCCCTATGGGATCGAAAAACTTGAGTTTCCGATTTGGCCCATGTCACAACGTGTGCCATCAAACAGACTCTGTCGCCTTCGCGACTGGCCCAGGGCTGTACACACACGGGGGGGATAAGCACTTCCCACCCACTTGTCATTATTGTTATCCTCGTTATAAATGCCATGAATGTTGAACGTGCTCTTGTCATCGGTCGTGGTCAATCCACTGCTGGATGACGGCCACCCAAAACTGCCATCGTTGTTTGTGTTACCATCCTGCGCCTCTGAATAGCACGGTTTGGCGACGTATGGTGCGAAAGAAGTTCAACATACACATTCTTGCTGCTGTTGTTGTAGTAAGGGTGTGAATTCCATTACCCGGTGAATAACAAATAGTTTAGTTTACTTACATGAGCAAGGAGACGTACTGACTTTCGAGTTGTGGTTTGACTACAGAGCAAACATGTATTGCCACAATCAAAGTTTTTGGGTTTAGATCGCGTTATTTATAAATGTGTCGTAACCCTCCACCACCCGACACGGCCAATCAGTAAAAAAGTGTCACGTTGACAAAAGACAAATAGTTCACTGCTTTAGCCCACCGGTGTGTTGAAGCGTGAAACCACAACATTTACAATTTGGCTTCAACACACCGGTGGGCTAAAGCAGTGAACTATTTGTCTTTTGTCAACGTGACACTTTTTTACTGATTGGCCGTGTCGGGTGGTGGAGGGTTATGACACATTTATAAATAACGCGATCTAAACCCAAAAACTTTGATTATGAATAACATTGGTCGCGAAAGCCTACATGTTAAAATGTATTGCCACGTTATGTGTATGATCGGCTCGTATGTGCGCGGTACATGCGTCCGCGAATGTTTACGTTGGGGTCGTGTTCCAACCGTTATGGGTATTATTAATCGGTTAAACAGAAACGGACCTTTGTTCTAAATACATTCCTGAAGCAGTGTAAAGCAATGGCAGCTTGTACTGTTAGGAACCTCCTGGTTACACCAGCCCACAGGGGATTATTGTGTCCGTCCATCCGTCGTGCAGGGAGGGGCTGGGTGGGGAGGGTGGGGCTGGGTGGGAAGGGGCTGGTCACCCCGTGGTGCCCTTATAAAACGTTTAACCTACTCACGCCGGCTTGTGCCCGCCCTCACAGTCGGGCATATTTGCGGAATACACCACGCCGCCGTTGACCCTGGCCATTGACCGAGCAACCCAATGTTCCTACCAGCTCCCTCCGCAGGAATTTGTTAAATTACGGTGGTGAAATGTTGGTGTTTGTTTAGAAGGGAACACGACTAAATATTCCTTTGGAACGATGTGTTTTTCCCGCAGAAGAGTGTGCATGGACACGTACAAGTCACAACTTCAGTCTGTAATCAAAAACAAAAGTGTCTCTGTCCTCTAAACAAGCAACAACCTCGTACTCCTTTGAGGGTGTTGCCTTGAGTTAGTGGTGGGAATTCCACATTCCATTGTTGGGGGGGGGGGGGTCTGAGCTTTAATATTCCATCATTATCATGATCATCAAAGACCTCTCCACTGCTGGATGGAGGCTTAGAAGCGTCGCAATCTCTCGCAGTCCTGTGATGTAGCAATCGCGTAGCACTTGCACGTGAGCTGGTTTCCTCGGGGCGGTTATGACTCGTTAAATGCATAATATATACGTGTACCCGTTTTTCAGAATCATCAGGGCATAATTAGATATGTGACCACATCGTCCCAGTTGTGTCCACGTGGTGTTGTGCAATCGGCAAATGACATTGCGCAGTCACTATTAAATTGCAGGAGTGCTGATGATAGTGGTGGTGGTGGCGAAGTGATATTGTTGTTTTCTCAGTAGTGGTGGTGGTACTTGTTGTGCTGCTGCTGCATTGGTGGTGAAGGTGGTGTTTGGGAAATGCTGTTGTGCCCACGCTGAGTACGCTCCCCCGTCAAGTTGGCGTTTCTGCGTCGAAGTTACATTTTGCCTTAACCGTGCCCTCCAGCCATGCACCCCGCGCGCTATGCAGCGAGCGTCGTGGTAGAATGCACCGACCAAAGGGCATTTCTCTTACGTGCCCCTCGTGTTTTTGGCAGTGTACGATGTGACCAAGCGAGACACCTTCTTGAAGCTGGAGAACTGGCTGAGCGAGCTTGAGACGTACACCACACGCAGCGACATCGTCAAGATGCTGGTGGGAAACAAAATTGACAAGGTGAGCCTTGCACATCTCCCCGCCTCTGTGTGGTTCACATTCCACGAGGGCCCAAGTCAGTAGAACATCAAATCAATCATTTGGTGTTTGCACAATTCGTAAAAGAGCAAGTTGTCCTTCCCCTGCACCTCCGATTAGCACGGTTGGCTACGTACGAAAGAAGTTCAACATACATATGAGTATGGGTCTCTGTGGTTCTATATTAGTCTCTGGATCTATCTGGGTGTCTATGGGTCTCTGTGGTTCTATTTGAGTCTCTGAATCTCTTTGGGTGTCTGTGGGTCTCTGGTTCGATTCGAGTCTTGATCTCTGTGGGTCTCTGAGTCTTTTTCTTCTGATATTAGGAAGCCACTGGAGCTATGCACTTTTTAATCATCTAGATTTAAAATTAATTTCTTTAACAGCCTTTTGTATTTACCTATTTGTCCATGAGCACGGTTTGCTATGTACGATGCGAAAGAAGTTCAACATAATTCTAGATTTGAAGCTTTCGTGACTGCAAGGATTCATACTCTTTGGTTTTTTCGGTAAAGTCACGTAGGTAAAAAATAAAATAAATGAAAACAACTAAATTAAATCACGACGTTTCGGAGGCAACACAAGCTTCCGTCTTCAGGTAGTCTTTTTGTTTTTTTCGGTGAAGTCACGTAGATAAAAAATAAAATAAATGAAAACAACTAAATTAAATAACGATGTTTCGGAGGCAACACAAGCCTCCGTCTTCAGGTAGTCGCTGTAGTACTAATACTGCTGTAGTACTAGTACTACAGCGACTAGTACTACAGCGACTTTGGCTGGAACGGTCGCTGTAGTACTCCAGCTACTTTGGCTGTAACAGTTCCACCTGAAGACGGAAAGCTTGTGTTGCCTCCGAAACGTCATGATTTAATTTAGTTGTTTTCATTTCTTTTATTTTTTATCTACGTGACTTCACCGAGAAAACCAAAGAGTAAGTTCAATATACACACATGCTACCATCACGAAAGCACGCAATGTTCAACAGGCATGGTGTGCAGTGGTTTTGCAGTAAGGGGCAATGTTGCTACGTGATTATCCCAGTGGAGTACTTTGTGCGTGCACTTTAAATTTTGGCGAAGGCAGACCGTGACACCCCAGCACACAATGGGCTTACTCTTTGCGAATGACGTCACAGGATCCTTTTTTAAAGATGGAAAATACACACCCACAGTATTAATCGGCATCAACATAGAATAAGGTTTCCCGGCTAAAATGAATACTCTCATAGCACAACAAGTTAACGCTAAATTTAGATTTAAAGCTTTCATGACTGCAGGGATTCATATTCTTGGTTCTTTCGGTAAGAAAAAAAACGCCACTTTTTTCAAATTTTCTTGCTGTGGATTTCACACCTGATGATGATTGCCTGTGTTGCAGTCGAAACGTCGTGAGAATTTAATTGTTTAATATTTTTATTATTTTATTGTTTCCCTTCTACGTGACTTTACCGAAAGAACCAAGAATAAGTTAACGCTAGCTAAATAAAAAAAAATATGAGCACACTAACTGCCTGCTTGTTGTTTGCAAGCGTTCCACCGGAGAATGTTTCGTTTGGCCTCGTTAACTGTGCTGGGAAAATATTGTGAGCATTAAGATTGGATAATGAAACAGTTGTTGGCAGCTGTGGGATGTTGTTACGTCACGCAGGAAACGAAATGAAACAAAAATAAATGAAATGTTGCATTGAAACGGCGAACCTGCAGATGTAGCTGTGCTTCCTGTGTACGTTTTTTTGCACATGCATGCACTTCATCACGGGAACGTGACCAACAGCCATAGATCACGGCGTACGCATGCGCGCGGCGTACTCTGCGCCTGAGTAAAAGGATAGTCCCCTGGGGAGTTGGCCTTGATGCTGCGCCAAAAAATTAGCTCGCTCTATACCATGTGCGCATGACTTCATCTTTAATTTTTTTTAAATCTCTAAGCGGTATTGGAGACGATACAAAGCGTGGATGAACATGTCACGGTTTAGCGGCCAGACACGGGTTTCATCCCTGGCGACGTAGAGATCCGTTTCAGCAGTCGACGGCTGCAGTGGAGTAATCTTTTTACTTGTACGGAAAAGCACACGAACAAGCAACTCAAATGCTTAAACACAGCTCGAAACAAGTATGGGGAATCGATCTTGCGATGAATAGTCGTATTGTGAAAATGTATCTTTTTATCGTAAAACAAAAAACCCAGTGTCGACTGTTAGAGATCGTAGGCAGCCAGCTTCACGGAGGTTTTTATTTACATTTGAGGTCCCAAACGTGTCAAAAAAATTAACCTTGGCAAGGCTTCTCTAAGTCGATCTCGCAGTGCCCCTTCTTCAGAGCATTGCACCAAGTGGTTTGTAACCTTTCTGACGTAAACTTTCGTGACTGAAGCTTTCGTGACTGCAAGTATTCATACTCTTTGGTTTCTTCCGTAAAGTCACGTAGATAGAAAATAAAATTTACAAAGAATAAAAATTAAAATAACAAACTAAAAACTGCACGACGTTTCGATCGCAACATAAGTGGTCGTCATTAGGCGGCGATGACCGCTTGTGGTTTGCGATTGAAGCGTCGTGAGTTTTTGTTTCTTTACGATTTTTTAGTTGTATTTTTTTAATGTTTTATTTATTTTATTTTCTACCTACGTGACTTTACCGAAAGAACCAAAGGATATGTATAACCTTTCCTTCATTTGCTCGGTGGTAAAAGGCATTGTTGTTGACGCCGAAAGCCGCCGCGGTGGGTAGGGGTGGAGGGAGTTGTTTTTATTTCTACCCTCTGCCGCCACTTCCTGATTGTGCTTGCAGGATGGGAGAGTTCTGGATCGGACAGAAGGTTTGAAGTTTGCCAGGAAACATTCCATGCTGTTCATCGGTAAGTCTATCTGTGCGCGTGCGCACGCACGCACGCTTACTTCTTAGGATTGTAAGACGCATTGTTTTTTTTTCTACCTGTATCTTAAAGCATCGGATAATCTTGGAAGTTCTAGATTTTAAACTTTCGTGACTGCAAGGATTCATACTCTTAGATTTTTTCGGTAAAGTCACGTAGGTAAAAAATAAAATTAAAAGTTAATAAAAGTAATAGTAGAAATAAAATAATAAATCACGACGTTTCGGAGGCAACTGCATGGATGCAGTAATTTTAGCTGTGACGGTCCCACCTGATGACGGAGACTTGTGTTGCCTCCGAAACGTCGTGATTTATTATTTTATTTTATTTCCATTATTACTTTTATTAACTTTTAATTTTATTTTTTACCTACGTGACTTTACCGAAAAAAACCTAAGAGTATGAATCTTGGAGGTGTGTGTGACTAGATTCGTATAACTTTATTGACACCAGGCACAAGTATGGGGTGCATCTTACTTTCGGGAGCATAGTATAATCTTTAAAATGCAGTGCAGTAGTTGTCAGCAGCTTACACATCTACTTCTGCTTTTACCTAAGTCCATATGAACCAGAATCAAATTGACACATTCTGACACTGTTAAATAATGCATGTGATAAGGTTGAAAGAAATCTATGTATTACCACCTTTTTAAAAGGATGAATCGTACAGTGTTACTGTATTGGATTTACCCCTAAGACAATGTGGTAAACACATTTTCTTTTACAGTAAAACCTTGCATTGCGAGCATAATTCTTTCTGGAAACGTGTTTGTAATCTAAAGCACTCGTATATCAGTTGTGATCACGTGACGCTCGGCAGACAAAGCGTATACACGTACTACTCGTATTTCAAGACCTCGCTCGTTTATCAAATTAATATTTATTTTTAAAATGTGCTTGTCTTGCAAAACACTCGCAGACAAAGTTACTCGCAATCCAAGGTTTTACTGGAGGTCTTTGCTATTGATTTTTATTTCTTAGCACCACAAACTAGCTTTATCGTATTTAAAACTTCCAACCATTTTGCCGACCCATACCTGTGGACGTGAAAGGACCTGTGACGTTATTTAAACGGAGTTCGCCATCTGTGACGGCATCACTGTCCGGATTTCCCTAAAGAAAAATAAAATCGCCCACAAATCACTTACATTTTACCCCTCCTGGCAGACAAGATCAGTCTGTAAAGCAAAGTTCCTTCATCTTCTTGGTTCTTTCGGTAAAGTCACGTAGAAGGGAAGTAATAAAGTAATAAAAATAAAACATAATAAAATAATTCTCACGACGTTTCGGCCACAACGCAAGCAGCCGTCCTCAGGTGAAAACCAGGTCTGTCGGGGAGACAGCGTCTGAATGAAACAGCACACGAGCTTGGAGCGTATATATAAGCTGGGTTGGGAGGGGGGGAAAGGGCGCGTCGTGAGAATTATTTTATTATGTTTTATTTTTATTATTTTATTACTTCCCTTCTACGTGACTTTACCGAAAGAACCAAGAAGATTAATCCCTGCAGTCACGAAAGCTTTAAATCGAAATCAAAGTTCCTTCGTGATAGTGTGTGTGCGATAAGAGTAGCACGAGTACAAATAATCATGCGTCCTGTGTTTGTAGCACAGCGCTTGACCCCTCTGTGTGTGGGATGAGGGGTGGTGCAGCGGTTAGCGCGCTGCGCTACGAGTTCTATTCCCGTTTACAACCAACACCGGTGACGATTATCTGAACCGGTCCCGGGCCTCCCCGAGGTCGACTCGGCCTCAAATGAGTACCTGGTGCTGTGTAAAACATCGCCACTTGGGAGACAAAGACGGCCGGGCGTGGTGTTGGCCACCAACACCCCCCCTCGTGTGCCGTGCCGGCCTTCATAGGTGCTGCTCGCTTAACGGCACTTGCCCCTAACAGTCTATTAAAGTCTACACGGCGGGGGACCTGTGTGTGTGTGTGTGTGCGCGCGTGTTCCACCACCGCGTGCGTGCGTGCACGCTGCTCAGAGGCGAGCGCTAAGACGCGAGACGGAGTGCAGTGCGCCTTCGAAGAGCTGGTGGAAAAGATCATCCAGACGCCCGGCCTGTGGGAGAGCAAGGGTCAGGGCCAAAGCCGCTCCGGCGTGCAGCTTGGGAGAGACGAGGCGACGCCGGGCGCCGGGAGCTGTGGGGGCTACTGCTCCCTCGCCTGAGCGTCGCGCAAAGTCCTTGGCGCCTTTTCGTCCCACGACCCCAAAGCTCTCCGAACGCACAAAGCACGACGACTACGGCCGCAGCGGCGGCGGCGGTTCGCGCTCCAGCCAAGTCTGAGCCGGGCTGACCGTTCATTCATCGCCCAGCTCTTTCCCCCCCCCCCCCCCCGCACGCACACCGACAGCAACCGCCAACCGCCACTAAGTGGCGGTGATGTCGCAACGGCGCTTGTGCCAGGCTACGTGCACGCACGCACACACACACCCACGGCGCTTGCTTAGTCACAGCGAGTGCCCACGGGGAATTTGTTCGCTCGCTCAAGCTTTTGAAAAAACAGAGGTACAAACGTGTACCGCCTTGTAATTTAGCGAAGGGCTTCCGTTAGAATGAGCTCAGCCGCCCCCCTCCCCCCACTCGAGAGAGTATAATCTTACAAACAGGAAAACTTGTATTCAACCCAGACTCTGGATCAATTACGATTGTAAATTGTGTCATCTGTACTCAATTCCGATCGCCACGCAATTGCGATGGTTGCTTGAGTTAACGAGGCTGCTGTAATTGTTCACTGTAATTGACCCCAGGTCTGATTCGACCTCATTCACTTCGACCTCCCCCTCTGTCCTCCTGTGCGTGGCAGTCCGCTGCTTTCGTCTCTTTGGGTTATGTATCTGTCTTGTATTTGTTGCTCTTGTTATTTCTCTCGTGTTTTCGCCGTCAGTTTGATTGAAGAAAATAAATAAGTCCTCTTTCAGGAGGTTCATATCATGTCGGGACGATGTATTTGGCACTGCTGAGATCCTGCTGTTGAATCTGGACGGTTAAAAACTGAGTTATCAAATTTAGTGGGTTGATGGGTCTGAGCCAAGTCACAAAATGTGACTGGACTGAGACCACCAAAGTAATTGCATTTTCACTAAATTGGACAGACCAAAATTGAAAACTATCCGTTTGCCTGATGTATGGTGAACTTTGCTGGGCATACAAAGGGTGTGATGGATAAAGGAGGCCTATTGAAGTGACTTCAGAAGTAGTTCTCCGACATCCTCTTCTGAGGCCTTCCTCTGACGGGGGACAGTGTTTAGCTGCTTGCCGGCCGGCAAGAATTTCCAACGGGAAATGAATTTGTCATTTTGACAAATGAAAAAAAAATGTACCATTTAAAAAATATATATATCTTAAGTAAATAAATACGTGTAAAAATGTACGGGGAGACGGATGCTTTTTTTTTTTTACACGATTCTCACTTGAGTCGAACAAGCGCTTAACATGCAATATAAGCTCGTGTGGAAAAACAATTATAAACTAACACTTTCCCGTCCTGCTTTGCGATGCCGTTCAGTGTCGGGTCACCGCAGCGGTTTTCTTTCGACGTTTCGGGGAGCGCGACGTTCGTTCCACCCACGGTGACGCGAACCTTCACCGACGCTGTCGATCCTGCGATGCATGCCGAGCATGTGAAGTCGGGAGAAATGTATTTTCAAGCACACTTTTAATTGACCGGGCAACGCAGCATCACGACGTAGTGGTTCACACTCGTCAACGCGGAGATTGCACACCTACGGAAAGGATCGTTGTCTCGTTCAGCTTTTGTCAAGCTCTCAATATATTGTTCACACATTTGTACATTGTTCTTAGCTGCTTGAGCCCGTTGTGGGTTGACGCCGTCTTTATATAACCCTATCGCGCCTTTTGAAAGTCGCTTGAGAACTCGACTGTTATAATGTTACCCTCGGCCACTGTTCTCTTACTGAAGGTATTACACGTTGTGCAGTCCATAATAATCCCTTTTGAAATTGGACCGGTACAAATGTATGAATAAAAGAGTTAAATATTGGAAACACTTTTCTGTTCCTCCCCCTTCCCTCCAAGCCGTTTTGTCTTTTGATTTTAGAAAACTGCATGTCTCATCGAGTCCCTTTTATTAACTACTAATAATGTTAAGTATGAATCATGGGACTCTTGAGTATGAATGCACTCGTGGCCACGGGAGGTAATGACAGGGGAGTCAGTTGTGAGTGTGAAGGGACTGGTGGCCACGGGAGGTAATGACAGGGGAGTCAGTTGTAAGTGCGAAGGGACTGGTGGCTATTGGAGGTAATGACAGTGGAGTCAGCTGTGAGTGTGAAGGGATTGGAGGTAATGACGGGAGTCAGCCTGCAATGCGAAGGGACTGGTGGCCACGGGAGGTAATGACAGGGGAGTCAGCCTGCAGCGCGAATGCACCAGTGGCCACGGGAGGTAATGACGGGAGTCAGTTGTGAGTGCGAAGGGACCGATGGCTACGGGAATGTTCGAGAAGGGAGCGTGGTCAGGCGACGGAAGAGGACGGTGGTGTCTGACGGTGGAGTGAGCGTCCAAAGTCAGCGAGAACGATCGAGAAGGGGGGCGTGGCCTCGTGTCGGTATATAAATGGAGATGTGCGGGAGACTCGGGGCTGCTGCAGTGGGGTTGTGGTTCAGAGATACAGTACGGTCACTGTTTATAACATGGTGGGAAGCCATTGAGACACGTGATCTCTCACGAATACTATATAACCCCAGGAATCGACTGATAAAAGATTTAACACAGCCGTTTGTGGTGTCCATTGTGAACATGACTAGGATACTAGTAGGTTTTTACCCTTTCAACTGGTACAAAAACTGACACCTTTATACAAGGCATCATGTTTGCAATAACCGCAACACAAGCAGTCAAAATGCAAACAAAAAGAAACAACTCTGATGATGATAATGATATGCACTGTCCTTGAAGTTGTTTGGTCCACACCCGAGACAGCTTTCCTTAGAGCCTTGTCTCCATTGGTGTTGGACCAGATGACGCCAAAAGGCGCACACCTCAAAAACAGCGCGCTATCAGAGTATTGAGAGCTCGGGTAAGCATTTACACTGAGACCTCCTTTTCCAGTGGCAAAATATAGTAATAGGTTTTTACCCTTTCAACTGGTACAAAACTGACACCATGACTAGGATAATGTAACTATGTAAATAAATTAAGGAAATTCTCATTACCTGGGGTGCACGCACTTTTTGGGTGTGCGAGACTTTGCCTGGTTTTTTTTAGAAGGTAAGGGGCCGTCCATAAATGACGTCACGCACCTGGGGGGGTTGGGAGTTGAGAAATGTGACGTCACATCAAAATGCGCAACTTTAAATCAATATAGACAACGCGTTCTACTTAATTAAATATACTTTTTAATTAATGTTTTCTCCTACAGCATCAGAGTGCAGCGCCACATTAAATACGCACTACAATGACAATAGTTTAAAGCGATTTGAAGCATGTTTTATTTTGGGGGGGGGGGCAGAGCTTTGTGACGTCATATTTGAGGGGGGGGTCTGACTTTTTGTGACGTCGTGTGACGAAGGGGAGGGGGGGGGGTCAAAAATTGTCCAAAATCGCGTGACGTCATTTATGGACGGCCTCTAAATCGAAAAGGCAAATTAAGCACGGGCACGGAAATACAATTCTAGATTTGAAGTTTTCGTGACTGCAAGGATCCATACTTTTTGGTTCTTTCAATAAAGTCACGTAGGTGAAAATAAAAGATAAGAATAAAAATAGTTATTTCTGGCCACGGGAGGTAAAATAATAAAATTAAATCACTAGTGAAATCACTAGTGGATTATTTTTTTTAGTTATTTAGTTATTTTCAAAAATAATACAATTAAAATAACTAAATTTAATCACTCGTGATTTTAATGTTTTATTTTTCATCTCCGTGACTTTACCGAAAGAACCAAAGAGTATAATCTTATACATTTTAGATTTTTTTTTTTGCCTTTCGCCTAACGGAGCGGTCAAAACAAAACACTCTTAACAGACAAGGTCGAGATTACAAATTAAATAATCTTGAGCGAAATATTTTAATTCCCCCCCCCCCCCGGCTTTTGATCGATATGACAGGGAGAGGAGGGACACGCCCGGAGCACGCACGCGCGCGCGGCGTGGAGATGGAGCGTTGAAATGATCGCGTCGGTGTGAAGGTCAGCTGTGCGAGCGATAGCCTTGCCTGAAGTCACGGAACGAAACAAATTGGACCGGCCCTTCCTGTCCACAGTGAATTGTGCTCGAGATCTCCCCGCCGCCCTGTGTCTCCACGTGTCTCGTGACCCCCGTTGAATTCTCTGCCACTTAATGTTTGTCGAAGTAAAGTTGAAATTTCGATTTAAAGCTTTCGTGACTGCAGGGATTCATCTTCTTGGATCTTTCGGTAAAGTCATCACGTAGAAGGGAAGTAATAAAATAATAAAAATAAAACATAATAAAATAATTCTCACGACGTTTCGGCCACAACGCAAGCAGCCGTCCTCAGGTGAAGAACAGGTCTGTCGGGAAGACATTATTTTATTATGTTTACATGTTATTATTTTATTATTTCCCTTCTACGTGACTTTACCGAAAGAACCAATAAGATGAAGTAAAGTTTCTTTAAAACACGAGTATCAGAATGTTTATTTCGTCTGCAGAAGGAATCCGATGAGTGATAAAGCTTTTTTTGCACAGATGTCCGGTAGGGGACACGGGGTCAGAACGTTGCAACAATAAACAGGACTAAAACACGATAGGAGTTTAAAGTAAACAAATCAAAGTGCTGTATAGGAAAGGTAAACACATCACCTAAAATATACGACTAAAACGAAGCGATGTTTACATGCAAAGGGAAAAAAAAGTTGGGGGGTCACAAGACATCTGGACCACGCCGTACATGTGTAAATGTTTGTTTTGCTCTAGCATATTTGTTTATGTCGCTGTTTTGTTTTCTTCAGAAGAGACGACCTCACCTGGTCTACAGGAGGTCGTGGGTTCGATCCCGACCCTGACGCTTGCTGCTGTATATTTGGAGTTTGTGTGTCTCTCTCTCATCATCATCACGGTGGCTAGGAGATGTTAACTACCTTGCCTGGTATACAGGAGGTCGTGGGTTCGATCCCGACCCTGACGCCTGCTGCTGTATATTTGGAGTTTGTGTGTCTCTCTCTCATCATCTTTACGGTGGCTTTGAGATGTTAACTACCTCGCCTGGTATACAGGAGGTCGTGGGTTCGATCCCGACCCTGACGCCTGCTGCTGTATATTCAGAGTCTGCGCGTCTCTCTCTCCCCATGGTCGCGTGGATTGTTCTCCAGGTCCTCCGTTATTTTCCCCTCCACGTTTAAAATCGACGGCACGCGTTTAGAGTATTTGGCTGCTATAAATGTCCACGTGAGGATAAGCCACTTAATCGAACTATCATTTGTGGCAGCCAGGTCGCTTCTGAAAAAGAGTTCTATAGCAGCTCACTGGGTCCTAACTGGTAAAATTCAAAAATAGTTTTTAATAGTTTAACTCGTTAATAGATTTGGACAAAACATCCTGATGACAGCAATACCCCTTCTGACAAAAAAAAAGAGTCTTAAAGACTCGGTGATGCTTTCCTGCTCAAATATGTTAGAAAAACCCTAAGAGTGTTATCCCTTTCAACAGCGGTCCTAAACCTTTTTGGCACCTGCGACCGGTTTCGTGGAAGACAATTTCTTCACGGACCGGGGGGCGGGGGGGGTTCATCATTGGGTCTTTCCCCCTTTTCAAAGAAGCTCTCCAGCTACGTTTGTTTCTTACTCATGTTGGCTACTAGGGGTTAGAGCTTGTGGGCTCACCAACACTGTGACTGAGGCAAGTTCGCAGTGCGGGGAAGAGGCGTGGACAGAAGTGGTAAATAATAAAATAATGGGGGCGGGCCACGCGCGGACTCACCGCTTACCTCCTACTGCTGTGCGGCCCGGTTCCTAACAGGACACGGACCGGTACCGGTCCGCGGCCCGGGGGTTGTGGCCCCCTGCCTTTCAACATTCTTACAACTGTAGAGTATTGCGGGTAACCAATGAGGGGGTAAACAGAAGGAGGTGCGAGCAGGTTAACAGGCAAGGATGACGTAACGTCACGGGTGGTGTAAGAGGCATCTTCGGGAACAAAGGCGGGTCCGAGCTGGGGGGAGGAGCCGCCCAAGGGGTTCTTAAGGAGGACCACGTGACGAAGGCGTGGTCCTCGTAGGGAGCGGCTGCAGGGGGTCTCTCTCCTCGTCGTGGAAGCGGTGTTGGCTGAACCCCCGCTCCGGGCAGACGGGTGAGAGAGCCCGAGGGATAGCCGAGGGTAGGGTCCCGTAGTATTCAGCAAGGGTCGGCTGGAAGAGGGTCTCTCTCTGCTCGTTGCGGAGCGGTGTTGGCTGAACCCCCGGTCTTGGCAGACGAGTGAGAGAGCCCGAGGGATAGCCGAGGGTAGGACCCAAATAGTATTCAGTATCCGGGGTAAAAGACCGAGATAGAGTGAACCTACGATGGTGTGAGCGTAGGATATCGAGTGTGACGATGATTCAATAAACGGCAACAGCCCTTGTAGAATTCATCGTCTCCGCGTGGTTCTACTGGACAACACAAGTGTTAGATGCGACATCCGGGTGTCGTTTTAATTCTCGACTTTTATTGCTTTCAGCATTGTACAGTACAACGTCGCATATCCGACCTTCACGTATCCGTCCGTGCATAAGTGCCCCGGTGAGGTGGATATGCGGGTTTGTACCGTAACACATTGAACAGTTATTCACATGCTCTTGTAACTTAAGGTACGCTTTTGTCCACATCGAGCCAAAGTGAACGTAGGTTCGTGAGGTTTTTATATCTTTAAATTGGATACATCTTGATTTATAAACAATATACACAGGGACTCCTCTACTTACGAATAAGTAAGGTTCCAGAGGTCTGTTCGTAAGTCGATTTGTTAGTAAGTCCAACTTTACTCGTGTCGCTTCCAAACACGTACGGCGTGAACACTAAACACGGGGAATGGCTTTAAAAGTTGTACAATGTATATGGCATTGGCTCTTCACGTTCTGCAGATGTAGATGCCACTGGTTCTTCACGTTCTACAGATGTCGATGCCACTGGTTCTTCACGTTCTGCAGATGTCGATGCCACTGGTTATTCATGTTTTGCAGATGTAGATGCCACTGGTTCTTCACATTCTGCAGATGTAGATGCCACTGGTTCTTCACGTTCTGCAGATGTAGATGCCACTGGTTATTCACGTTCTACAGATGTAGATGCCACTGGTTCTTCACGTTCTGCAGATGTAGATGCCACTGGTTCTTCATGTTCTGCAGATGTAGATGCCACTGGTTCTTCACGTTCTGCAGATGTAGATGCCACTGGTTCTTCACGTTCTGCAGATGTAGATGCCACTGGTTATTCACGTTCTGCAGATGTAGATACCACTGGTTCTTCATGTTCTGCAGATGTAGATGCCACTGGTTCTTCATGTTATGCAGATGTAGATGCCACTGGGTCTTCATGTTCTGCAGATGTAGATGCCACTGGTTCTTCATGTTCTGCAGATGTAGATGCCACTGGTTATTCACGTTCTGCAGATGTAGATGCCACTGGTTCTTCATGTTCTGCAGATGTAGATGCCACTGGTTCTTCACGTTTTGCAGATGTAGATGCCACTGGTTCTTCACGTTCTGCAGATGTAGATGCCACTGGTTATTCACGTTCTGCAGATGTAGATACCACTGGTTCTTCATGTTCTGCAGATGTAGATGCCACTGGTTCTTCATGTTATGCAGATGTAGATGCCACTGGGTCTTCATGTTCTGCAGATGTAGATGCCACTGGTTCTTCATGTTCTGCAGATGTAGATGCCACTGGTTATTCACGTTCTGCAGATGTAGATGCCACTGGTTCTTCATGTTCTGCAGATGTAGATGCCACTGGTTATTCACGTTCTGTAGATGTAGATACCACTTGTTCTTCACGTTCTACAGATATAGATGCCACTGATTCTTCATGTTCTGCAGATGTAGATGCCACTGGTTCTTCACGTTCTACAGATATAGATGCCACTGGTTCTTCATGTTCTGCAGATGTAGATGCCACTGGTTCTTCACGTTCTGCAGATGTAGATGTCACTGGTTCTTCACGTTCTGCAGATGTAGATGCCACTGGTTATTCACGTTCTACAGATGTAGATGCCACTGGTTCTTCATGTTCTACAGATGTCGATGCCACTGGTTCTTCACGTTCTGCAGATGTCGATGCCACTGGTTATTCATGTTCTGCAGATGTAGATGCCACTGGTTCTTCACATTCTGCAGATGTAGATGCCACTGGTTATTCACGTTCTACAGATGTAGATGCCACTGGTTCTTCACGTTTTGCAGATGTAGATGCCACTGGTTCTTCACGTTCTGCAGATATAGATGCCACTGGTTCTTCACGTTCTGCAGATGTAGAGGCCACTGGTTCTTCACGTTCTGCAGATGTAGATGCCACCACCACCATCTATTGTACGGCAGTTTAACTTATATCTCTCAGTCCGAACAGGCAACCGGACATATGGACAGCTTTGTTCCTATCTCTGAAAGTTCGTAGGTCGAATGTTCATAAGTAGAGGAGTCCCTATAACTCAATTACTGTATTTGTACATTTTGTATAATAATAATAAACTCAATACTTATGCAGAGTAAACATCGTTCGAACTCAACCGTTGGCCAATTGTTTGGCGAAGCATCCAAGGTTGAAATGTTACCGCGTGAGTTTCTCTCTCGCACCCTGTACTCCGTGTCACTCTCTCCGGTTTGACTTCGCGTCGTCGTCATCGTTGTTGTAACCGCGTTTCGTTCGGCTCACGCGATGTCCGACGTTTCGCACCACTGGCTGGGGAGGGGGGGGCTTCTTCAGGCAAACAGGCTGCCCAAGTCCACCTACTCTACCTTAACATTCAATTTGAATAAATGTCCATTATCCTAGCTTCAAAGACAATATCAGTCTTGGAAAGTGCCTGTTAACGTTTGGCAGGATGCACATTCCTATCTCTCTTTCTGCCAATTATTGCCTGGAGGCAGTTTTGACCAACAACCCAACCGCCCCTTCATCATTGGTGACAACTTAAAACGGGTGGCAGCTGCTGTGGGCGTTGTTTAGAAGCGACATCGCCACACACGTGTTGAGATGTCCCTCTTGATAAACTCCACGCGCAGCTCAGCCTCCGATGTAGTGTAGCAGGCACAACCATTATTGCCTGCAGCAGGCTACTGAAAGACTCTGAGTAACTTCTTCTGGAAGGAGCTCCCAGGATGTGTGGCGAAACGTCAGACGTCGCGCCGTACAACACGCGGCGCACCGGAGAAGCGTCTGTCTTCACATCCCTCCCACGAGTGGAGGCCGATGGCAAGGTCTGCAAGGATCGCGAAACTGTTGTCCCGTAACCCTGGCCGAGTGAAATTACTCCGACGGACAGGTCTGGCCGCAAATGATAGCCCAACGAAGTGGCTTATCATCATCGCGTGGACATTTATAAGCAGCCAAATTCTCTTAAGCGCATGACGTTGATTCTTCAATGTGGAGGGGAAAACCGGAGGACCCGGAGAAAAATCCACGCGACCACGGGGAGAGAGAGACACGCAAACTCCGAATATACAGCAGGTGTTCAAGGTCAGCATCGAACTCACGACCTCATGTATACCAGGCGAGGTAGTAAACATCTCGCCACCGTGGCGGTCACAGTATTACTGGGCTGCCAAGAACACGCCTCCTGAGAAGTGGCCAGGTACACCACAGGTGGTTCACAGGTGGTTCACAGGTGGCTCACAGGTGGTTCACAGGTGGTTCACAGGTGGCTCACAGGTGGTTCACAGGTGGCTCACAGGTGGTTCACAGGTGGTTTCACAGGTGGCTCACAGGTGGCTCACAGGTGGTTCACAGGTGGTTCACAGGTGGCTCACAGGTGGTTCACAGGTGGCTCACAGGTGGTTTACAGGTGGTTCACAGGTGGTTCACAGGTGGTTCACAAGTCAAAGCACTGGTGCAGTTACTGCCGGGATCCTGGGTTCGAATCTGTGTCGAGGCCGTGCGCCACTAAACCGCGTTTTCAAGCGTAGGAAGTTGATGGCCCTGTTACTCCACGGACGTCACGGTAACATTTGGATTCGCTTCTTTGGTCGTGGATAAATGACAACTCTGAGAATGTCAGCCTTGGCCCCCGCCCTCCCCCCTACAAAGTGTGGATAAGAAGTGACTTGAGATTTTCGGAAGTAGTTCTGGGAATGTCCCCTTCCTCACACCGTACACTCTGTTACGGGGCGGGGGGGGTGAATATCCAGAATAGCCGGTGCAGAAATATAATTTGCACGTGAGGTTTGCAAAGAGGCCAGCCTGAGATTTTGCGTGAAATCAAATTGTCACGGTTTGGGAAAAAACTAACTTGTAAATGAAAAAGGGGTAAAATGAAAATATATATATTTTACAACATTCTGACCGGCTATTTTACTCCAGATACATTTGTTTTTGCATTAACGCCAAGAAGTGCGATGAATTTATGGCCTGAAATGGCCATATCGCTGCCGCGGGAATTATTACCTGATGTGAGCTGGCAATCACAGGACCCCGAGAGCTGAAGACGGGTGTGGGGGGGGAGGCCTTAGTCCAGCAGTGGATAGACCACTGCTAATGACAATGGCGATCTGGCAGAGACACGAGGTCGTGCAATAGAGTTCGTTTCAATTGTCCTCGGGAAAGACTTCTCCCCACTTCACCGATTTATAGAAAGTCAAAGGTAAAGGCGCAGCTCCTAACAATGTCTTGGTAATATCACTGCTGGTAGAAAGACCTCCACGAGACGGAGCTCTTAGAGTAACCCCTCTAGTTTGTATTTGGCCTACTCTTCCACGCTGGCCATACGCCTTGGACATCGGTGGTAGTAGCCACACATTACCCCCGCCACCGCGCGACCTGCCCATCGACTTAACTGTGGTGTGCCCGGTGATCCCGCGGTGGATTTCAGAAACGTGCCCCATCATTCAACGACACGGGACGGCTGAAATCCCCCGCAGCAGGTAAGGGGCAAATCACTCATCACGCGCGCGCGCGTACACACACTCGCAGCCTACGCGGAAATCCACATCATGAACAGGTGCGATCCTTGGTGGTGGAAGATGTTGTTTATCCGGCCGCGGCTGCAGTCGAGCGTGAAGAAGAGCGTCGCGTCGGCCTCCACGGACAGGCTTCCCCGCAGGCTGATGGTGCTCCACTGGCTGCCCTCCATCACTCGCCCAGCGACCTGCTGCAGGAGGGGCGCGACTGGGCCCCGGCCCTGCAGCTGCAACGGCGGCTCGCTCTGCAGCCCACGCAGCGACAGGCGCACCGTCTCGCACGAGTGGATCAGCCGCAGGTGGAACGAGACGCTCACCGCGCCGGCCGCCGCCAGCCGGAAACGCTGTCCCGAGTGGCGCCCCTCCGACTCCAGCAGCACCTGGCCCCCGTCGGGCGCCGCCACGGTCCGGAAGCGCAGGGCCTTGTTCCGCACGGCGCCGGTGCCCACGCCGGACTTGTCCAGGGCGGCCGAGAGGACGGCGGCGGCGGAGCCCGGCACCCACAGGAGGCTGGCGACGCTCACGCCGGACGCGTCGCCGAAGAGGCGCACGCTGCAGTGCTGCGACGTCGCCACGTCGAAGCTCAGCTGGTCGCCCGCCCGCACCTCCACGGCGCCGGCGGCCGACACGGCCGTGTCGCGGTAGGTGACGCCCGGGAAGTAGACGCGCGTCACCTCCTCGCTCTCCCCGGCGCTGCCGTTGCGGCTCACGTGAACGCCCAGCGAGTAGCCGTCGCGGATGCAGCCGTGGCCGACGGAGTAGAGCGCCTGCCGGTAGGCGAACTTGACGACGCCCGCCTCCGAGAAGGTGAAAGCCGCGCAGTCGTGGTTCACCGTGATCACGTAGGGGTCCGACACCTGCGACACCTTAAAGGAGGGGCGGTAGTTGGAGTTGTAGTGGGCCGCCGTGTTGGTGTGCGCGTGCAGGGACACGGCCCCGGTGTCGTGCGACAGCCACAGGAAGCTGAGCGAGCCCGGCAGGAGGTCCGGGTGGGCGTACTCTCCGCCGCTGCGCTCGCAAGGCTGCCCCGGGCTTCTCAGGTAAACCGAGAACTGGTGGCCGGGCTCCAGCTCGGCCGTGGAGCTCAGGGACGCGCTCCGCCGGAAGCGCTTGTCGTCCTCCGTCGGCTCGATCCTGGCCGCCACGAGCTCGTCGCGGTGCCCGCCGCTGCGGTTCAGCCTCAGCGACACCTGCAGGAAGCCGCGGCAGCTGTGCTTGGCCGCCACGTTGAGGTCGGCCCACACCAGGCCGTGCTGCCCGAACGCGACGGATCGCCCGCCGACCACCTGGATTTGGGCGAAGCCGAGCAGCGACTCCGTCTCCCGGGTGGGCGCGACGCGCAGCGCGATCCCTTCGCCGCCCGGCATCAGCTCCGAGAGGTTGGCGGGCCTGTCGCGGGGCGGCGGCAGCTCCACGGAGCCGACCCACGCCGCCGCCAGTTTGCCGGGGCCCGGCAGGCAGGAGGTGTCGGCGTCGGTCGTGCAGGGGCTCAGCATCAGCCCGTCGGGGCAGCCGGAGCACGCCTGGCACTCGCCCGTCTCGTAGCCCAGGTAGTAGCCGTCGGCGCAGAGCGACGACTCGTCGTCGTCGTCGTCGTGAGAGATGATGATGCCCACGCAGCGGTACCCTCCTGCCAAGGGTCGGGGCGGGAGGGGTCACAAAAAACAAAGAACAAAGATCGTCCGTGTAGCCTTTACAGACTGTAAGGGCAAGTGCTGTTAGCGAGCACCTATGGAGGCCGGCACGGCACACAACGGGGTGGGTGGCCAACACCACGCCCGGCCGCCTTTGTCTCCCTAGTGATGTGTTGTACGGTGTGTACACTAAACATGGAGAATGGCTGTAAAAATTGTATAATCTCCTGTAGATGTAGATGCCACTGGTTCTTCACGTTCTGCAGATGTAGATGCCACTGGTTCTTGACGTTCTGTAGATGTAGATGCCACTGGTTCTTCACGTTCTGCAGATGTAGATGCCACTGGTTCTTCACGTTCTGCAGATGTAGATGCCACTGGTTCTTCACGTCCTGTAGATGTAGATGCCACTGGTTCTTGACGTTCTGTAGATGTAGATGCCACTGGTTCTTCACGTTCTGTAGATGTAGATGCCACTGGTTCTTCACATTCTGCAGCTGTAGATGCCATTGGTTCTTCACGTTTTGCAGATGTAGATGCCATTGGTTCTTCACGTTCTGCAGATGTAGATGCCACTGGTTCTTGACGTTCTGCAGATGTAGATGCCATTGGTTCTTCACATTCTGCAGCTGTAGATGCCACTGGTTCTTCACGTTCTGCAGATGTAGATGCCACTGGTTCTTGACGTTCTGCAGATGTAGATGCCATTGGTTCTTCACGTTCTGCAGATGTAGATGCCACTAGTTCTTGACATTCTGCAGCTGTAGATGCCACTGGTTCTTCACGTTCTGCAGATGTAGATGCCACTGGTTCTTCACGTTCTGCAGATGTAGATCCCACTGATTCTTCACGTTCTGCAGATGTAGATGCCACCACCGCCATCTATTGCGCGACGGTTAAACTTAACGACTCTCGGTCCGAAAGGGCAACTGGACATACGGACAGCTTCGTTCGTATCTCTAAAAGTTCGTAAGTCGAATGTTCGTAACTAGAGGAGTCCCTGTACTCCGAGCGCAGATGGGCACAGGCCCTGACACGGACCGGGCCTCTGCCGATAGGGACTCTCCTCCTCTCGAGCAAGATGAATGTGAGATGTAGGAAAGAACCCAGAGTGTAGTGGCATGTTCCGAGGGTGGGTGTGGGGTGTCTAGCACCTTTATACCCCTAACCCGAGCCGACCCCAAACCTCACGGTCACAGATTTGGCGTTGTGGTTCCAGAATAAACGGCGTCTCAGTCTTGCCGTCTCATTTCTATTGTTCCCCCCCCCCCGCTCCCGCCTCTACTCTATCACCTGGAACAGAATCACACGGAGGAACAGGAAGAGTTCAAACGTTTCGCGGGAGAGCGCGGACGTGAGGAGTGACCACGAGGGGACGTCCACGGGCAGGGGACGCCGTTTTAGGTCGAGACCGGCGAAGGCAAAGGGCAGCGCGAGAGCGAGCGAGCGAGCGAGAGGGATCACCGCCGCAGGGACTGGGGGAGACATTAATCCAGCAGTGGATAAACAATGGATGCCGATGATATACTCGTTGGTTCTTTCGGTAAAGTCACGTATAAAGAGAAAATCATAATTTAAATAATAATTTATTATTAGTACCAAAAAACCGTGCTCCTCTGAGGTGCTGCCCTCAGTGTCATTCCGTAGCAGCCTTGTATATAGCGATCTCTGGGTATAAACTATCTAGTCAAGGAACTATAAACCATCGCGCAAACTCTGGTAATCCTTGCAGCAGCGGCTTTTGGCTACACTCTTTGGTTCTTTCGGTAAAGTCACGTATGTGAAAAAAAAAAAGTAATTTAAATCACGACGTTTCGATTGCAATACAAGCAATCATCATCGGGTATAAATGAAATAGAAAACAAACCTAGTAAACTTAGAAATATAATGCAATACAACACAGAGAGTCGGCTAACATAACAGTCAACACCCTACCTGGTTGATTATGTTCTTCCAGAGAATGTAAAATTTGAGAGAGAGAGATAAAACACAGAACCGGAGACATATAGACAGACACACAAGCAGAGAGAGATAACACAGAGACACATAGAGAGAGACACATACATAGGCACACAGAGAAACCACGCCTCTGTGTCGAGGCCTTAAATAGAGAGGGGGGGGGCGGAGAGAGAGGGGGGGGGGTAGAAAAATTAGCAAGTCAATGAGTGGCACGGAGCCTGCGCAAAAAACGACAAAACGACAAAAATTAGGGGAGACAGAGAGAGAGAAGCACACTAAATCAAATAAACCTAAAAAAAATTCGAAATGTAATGCAATGCAACACAAAGAGTCGGTCAACACACAATTAACGCATAGGCTGGTTGATTACGTTTTTCAAAAGAATGCTAAGTTAGAAGTTCAGTGTGAAATTTTAAAGAGAGACAAGATACAGACACGAAGATAGACATACAAGCAGAGACACACAGAGAGAGCAGAACAAAAGAACGACAAAACGAGGGGAGACAGAGAAACACACAAAATCAAATAAACCTAGCAACATTTCGAAATGTAATGCAATGCAACACAGAGAGTCGGTCAACACACAATTAACGCATAGCCTGGTTGATTACATTTATTTATTTATTATTTTCTCTTTATACGTGACTTTACCGAAATAACCAAAGAGTAATTCCTGCAGTCACGACAGCTCCATGTTAAGTTTGCCGACGATATGGTGGTGGGGTACAGACCTGGTGTGTTCAGACATTTTCCAGCGCAAAACGTTGGGTTCTCTGTGCATTCATCCTTGTCCTGTGAGCAAGGGGGGGAAAGAAAAGAAACATTGGCATCATCGGAGAAGCCCGCTCCGGCCACGCGTGTGCAGAAAGACCGCGTGCTTAAGTTTAACTTCCTGGCCCTTCCAAGGGAGGCGGACACATGAGTACATCGTGAATAAATATCCATTGTGGGCGAATGTTCGATGTCACGGCAAAAAACGCACAATTGTGGTAGCCAACTGGGAACAGGGCGCGCTCACCCAAACACTCGGACGAATCGGCCAATAAATCGTCGAAAAATTTCCGATCTCGAGCATCTAAGTTGCAAAAACTACGGGGCAAGGGAGGAGGCTGACCATCAAACGTGGAACCCCCTTCACCACCTCTCTTCCAGTGGGCACTGATTCTTAAGAGCATTCATGGGGGGCATTTAGCCACTCCTCCCCCCCTGTTTTTCTCTTCTCCTCTAGGGCTATCGGAGCTTAGGAAGGCACCAGAGAGTTGTCCAGTTTATTGAAACGATTTATTGAAGCGCGCGGTTTAAGGCAGCTTTCCATTGCACCGTAAATCCGTCATGTTTGGTTAGTGCCGGAGTCAACTCGACCCGTCCATATCCTCTGTGTGTATGTACCTTAATCGTCTTGTTACAGACAGACCTGTTACAGACAGACCTGTTCTTCACCTGAGGGCGGCTGCTTGCGTTGTGGCCGAAACGTCGTGAGAATTATTTTATTGTTTTATTTTTATTATTTTCCATCTACGTAACTTTACCGAAAGAACCAAGAAGATGAATCCCTGCAGTCACGAAAGCTTTAAATCGAAATTTAATTATATTTTATTATGTTTTATTTTTATTATTTTATTATTTCCCTTCTACGTGACTTCACCGAAAGAACCAAGAAGATAAAAAATACTTTTGGACGAAAACAAATATTTGTTTGGAACTTTCTTGTCCTCCAGATAAGCAACGAGTGCAACATTTGCCCGCGGCAACAAATCGCGTTGACACCGCGCGGAGTTGCCCTCCTGCGGGAAGTGGCAACTTTGAAACCGCCCGCTCTTCTCGACAAAGTCAACTGAAGCGGGGAAAAATCTCCGCGAGAAAAGAAAAGAAACCCTTGTCACGAACGCAACGCCCTCTCGAGACCCCGGGACCACCGGCCGCCAGGCCGCATGCTTTCCTCCCTCGAGGATGCTTTTCCCGCAACAGGGAAGAACACACCTTCTGAGTAAACAGCAGGAACGGGGCGAGCGAAATACAGTGCTACCCAAACAGCGAGCAGACGCAATGGATCACCAGTTTCCACTCGCAAGTCCTCGCCCTACCCCCCCCGCCCCCCCCCCCCCCCCCGTATTCAGTTCGTTCCTCGGCTTTGCGGTTTCGTCCGTGAAACCTTTTTCCCCATCACATGTCCACGCTGCACTTTTCTTTCAGGCAAAGTGCCTCAGCCTCCTCCTCCTCCTTCCTCGCACTCCGCGCTTTCCCCAAACATCATCGGTCTGCCCGATTCTTACCCCTCCACCACCACCGCCAAGCCTACCCCCCCCCCCGCCCGCCCCTGGCTAGATTCCAAAGTGAAACCGCTCTCTCGCACGCGACGAAATCCCACAACCGCACGACCTTCCGCGACGCAGAGGTCGTCGGTTGCTTCCCCGACGTTGTTCATTTCTGCTCTTAGTTTTTTTTTTTCTTCGGTAAAGTCACGTAGGTAAAAAATGAAGTTATAATTAATAAAAGTAATAATAGGAATAAAATAATAAAAATCACGACGTGTCGGAGGCAAGTCGCCGTCATCAGGTGGGACCGTCACAGCCAGATTTGCTGTGACAAGTGAGGCAGGGATTCCAAGATGCAAGTTCTTAAATACAAGTTAAGGGGGAGGGGGGAGGAGCTTATCAGAATGTGGTAGCCAATGAATGGAACATATTGGGAGGGGGGGGGGCGGGGCTAAAAGAGAACACGAGGTGTACGTGCACGTGGACGTGTTTGTGCACAAGCCCCTGTTGGTGCACATGATAACGTATTGGAAGTTGATAATTGTTTTTTTACCCTTCTATCTGGCAACAACACTGACACCTTTTTTACAAGGAGTCATGTTTGCATAGACCACAATGCCTGTAGCCATAATGCAACAAAAAAACACAACTCTGATAATATATGCACTGTCCTTGAAGTTGATTGGTCCACACATTATGGCTGCAGGTATTGTGGTCTATGCAAACATGACTCCTTGCAAAAAAGGTGTCAGTGTTGTTGCCAGATAGAAAAAAACAACTATCATATTTTGCTACTGGCAAATGAGGTTCCAATGGCGTATTGGAAGTTGTTCATTTCTGCAACGCTGGCGATCGCGCGCCCCCCACCTGGCAAATGCGGTCGGTGCTGCGGCGGCAAGTCTGCAGCTCGGAGAAGCCTGGCTGGCACGACGAGCAGCGGCGGCACTCGGGCGGCATCCGCTGGAAGTCGCAGAACTCCCCGGCGGCGCAGGGGGCGCAGTCCGATGGGCGCTCGCCGCCGTCCGCCTCGTAGCCGCGTCCGGCGTGCTGCGTCGCCGCCCTCGGCACCGAGATCGCCGGCAGGCCCGGCATCCCCGGCAGAGACGGCGGGATCCTCAGGAGGCCCGTCGCGTCTTCCGTTCCCGCGAGCGCCGGGTGGGGGTGGTGGTGGTGGCGGTGGTGCTGGGGTCGACCGGCGGAGAGCGGCGGGTCGATGGCCGGCTGCGGCTGCGGGGGCGTTCCCGGGTTGTCCTCCCAGCGCTGTCGGGTTGTTTTGATTGCGAGGGGAGGTGAAACGCGAGGTCCGCCCGGGTTAGGCCGACGATTTGTGGGGCGGCCGCGCTGACCTCACAAACCATCGTCACGCGAGCTCCGGCTGCCAGCCCTCGCGGCGGCAGTGGCAGGCGGCGCCTTTTGGCTCGGCCGTCGAACACCGCTCGTGTCACACGCGCACACACACACACAAGGTGCTTGCCGCAAGTGAGCCACAATACGTGGCTGATCTCGTCAAGAAGCATAGACCATCAGGCGAACTCCGCTCATCCTCGCAGCTACTTTTGGCGAACCATCGAACAAAGATGTTGGGGCACCGCATCGCGCGCTTTCAGATGCGCTTCTGCGGCCGTCTGGAACGCTCTTCCTTGCGATTGTTAGGAAGCCACTGGAAGCTATTAACTATTAAACCATCATGTACATTAAAAGTAATTTCTGATTTTGTGGTTAGTTTGTTGTCCATCCCCCGCACCTCCAATTAGTGCGGTTGGCTACGTACGGTGCAAACGAAGTTCAATGTACGTACGTACTAATGCATGCGCACGTGTCAGTGCAGAACGTGCGCACGGGCTAGTGGTGGAGGGACAGAACCGTACCGCGGTGAAATGTCCTGAACGTGAATCACAATAAACAGACGTTCGCTCCGCAGTTCCTAATGTCTAACAACAACAAACAACACTCCGACGGAGCCCAGGACATTACGCGAGCATCAATTTTTTTTATTTTAACGGGACGTCGTCGGGAGTTTAAATCGAGTTTCAAATGGCCGTGTCTGGGCCCCACCCCGAACTCGGAACGTTCAACGCCGCGTCGATTTCGCGCCGCTCCCCACCTTCGAGGCGTGCCGATGCTGGGTCCTCAGATCGCTCTCTTGCCGCATCAGCCCCTCCAGGTTCGCGAATTGAGCGGCGAGGTGGCGCTGAGCGTCCAGAACCTGCGGGCGATTCATGCCAAAAGTGAACCTTGTCCTCGACTCCCCAACGCAGAAGAAGAAGCATCCGGAGATGTATTACAGCTTCCTGTAAACAACAGCAGAATGAAGGTCCTGGGAGCAATGGAATTCCCGGTGTTTGGGGCATTTACAGACAAACATGCCCACTGTGTCTACGCTGGGTCTGAGTCTCTCTGCTTTAAACTATGGGCCTCTGTGCGAGCCTTTGGGTCTCTGTGTGAGTCTATGGGTCTCTGTGCGAGCCTATGGGTCTCTGTGTGAGTCTATGGGTCTCTGTGCGAGCCTATGGGTCTCTGTGTGAGTCTATGGGTATCTGTGTGAGTCTATGGGTCTCTGTGTGAGTCTATGGGTCTCTGTGTGAGTCTATGGGTCTATGTGCGAGCCTTTGGGTCTCTGTGTGAGTCTATGGGTCTCTGTGTGAGTCTATGGGTCTCTGTGTAAGTCTATGGGTCTCTGTGTGAGTCTATGCGTGTCTGTGTGAGTCTATGGGTCTCTGTGTGAGTCTATAGGTCTCTGTGCGAGTCTATTGGTCTCTGCGTTGGTCTGTAGGTCTTCGCGTTAGTCTGTGTGTCTCTATGCAAGTCTGTGGGTTTCTACACGAGTCTGTGGTTCTCTGGGCGAGTCTGTGAGTCTCCGCGTGAGTCTCTATGTGGATCCACTTGAAGCGATGGAATCCCGGGTTTTTAGAGCATTATTAGAGAATGAGAGCGAACCATGCGAGCTATTTGTCCTCGCTGCAATGCACTTTTGGTGTTGTTGAGCGTTTATTTTAATGACAACTCAACGCAAGGGGTGGGAGGGGGGGTGGAACAGAGACTCCACGGACAACATCCAAGGCTCGGTGCTTCAGGAGTTTAAAGAAAGGGGGCGGGGGGGGGGGGGATTGGGCTCTCTACACCACCCACGTGGAGACCTCGAGCGTGGAAGTTTATACGGGGAGGGAAGGATGGGGGGGGGGGGGGGGGAAGGTGACGAACATCAATGGACAAAGGCGGAAGGAGTAGGGGGGAGAGGGAGAGAAGGGAGGGCGGTGGGGGGCAGGGTGTTGTGCGGCTTCTTAACCCTTTCCCGCTCCTCCGAGACGCCTGCCAAGTGGCAGGGTTTCGTTGTCCCGTTCACCTCCGAGTCTCGGAACGCCGCGATCGGCTCAGCGTTAACTAGGGAGGCGCAGCGGCGACGTCGTGTTCATGAAGACGTCGTTACTCACCCGCGGAGAAGCGTGGGGCGGCACGGCCGCCGCCACTCTACGATAGCCGGGGCCGTGTCGTGCCACGCGGCCCTCCCGCATGGCCTCGTGGGAGCCTCGGTAAACGACAAAGTTATTTTACCTCGATTTTTTTTGTTCTTTTTCCGGTTCCGTTCCGATGACCTATACACCTACGTGCACGTCATCGGGACGGAATCGGAAGTTAAAAAAAAAGTTTAAAAAAAAGTTTAAAAAAACGGTGACGTTCACGCGCAGCGTCCATCGGAAACGGGAAAGGAGTTAAACATTCCCAGGCACATCGGTCCCGGACGTCCAGCCGCAGGCAAGGGGTACAGGCGGTGCAAAGCGAGCGGGCGCCGTCACCTGCTGCTGCTGCTGCAAGAGGCGCATCTGCTGCTCGTTGAGGCCGTGCGTGATCTTGGCGGCTGCCTCCACCTGCGTCTGCACCAGCGCAAGCAGCTGCTCCTGCCCGTGCACTAGGCGCAGGTGCAGGACGAGGGCATCCTCCGAAGCCACCTCGTTCTCGCCTACCGCGCAGTTCGGGGGGGACGGAGCCGGTGGTGCGGAAGGAACGGGGAATGCCCGTCGGGATTACAGAACGGATAGCGCAGGCCACCGTCTCAACAACAACACCAACGCACAGAAAATTTGCATTCAAACTAAACTGGTTTTTTTTGTTTTATTTTACCAGGTAAGGCCGCACTGAGCTATGTAGATTTTTGTCAGGAGCGGCCTGGCCACAAATGGTAGCTCAACGAAGTGGCTTATCGCGTGGGAAGTTATCGCAGCCAAATACTCTGAACGCGTGATGTCGATTCTAAATGTGTGGGGGGGGGGGGGGGGGGGGGGGGGGGGGAAACCGGAGGACCCGGAGAAAAATATACGGGACCACGGGGAGAGAGATAGAGACCTGCAAACTCCAAATATACAACAGGCGTCAGGGTCGGGACCAAACCCACGACCTCCTGTATACCAGGCGAGGTAGTTAACATCTCACCACAGAGAGACACGCAAACTTCAAATATACAGCAGCAGGCGTCGAGATCGGGACCCAACCCACGACCTCCTGCATACCAGGCGAGGTAGTTAACATCTCGCCACCGGCGGCGCGTTGTTTATTTGAAACTTTGATGTTTATTCTTCAACTATAACCCTCCACCACCTGACAGGGCCAATAAAATGAAATTGTTCAGAAAAAACGAGAGGAATTTTGACGAGTAGAGCGATACTGGAGCTTCTGCTGAACTCCTGACGATGCTGGTTGTAATCTCCGACGAAAATAAACGCCGTACAAAGTTGTCAACATTTTGCTTGCCGTGCGAGACGCCTTTGCAATCGGTATCTATTGCAGTGTTGGAACATCTCAACACCTCCTGTTTTATTGCCCAGAAAGGCTGAAGCCCATTCTTAATTATCATCATTTTGATACTGCCAAAAAGGTAACCCATAGATATGTTTAGATTCCAATTGGGTGGATTTAAAAAAAAAAAAATTGGCAAAAAATTGGATCTTGTTACACTGCCCTAACTGCACACAGCATCTACCAACACCTGTTTGATGCACGTAATGGTCACCCATCCAAGCACTATCCAGGCTAAATCCAGCTTAGCATCCGAAATGTAACGAATCGGGTGTCTTCCGGGTGACTTAAGACACATACTGTACGCATTCTTCACTCATTTTCAGGATGGGGGGAGGGACACTCACACCGATGAGACCTCAATAAGTGGTGAGAGAGGAGGGCCCCCACCACGCATTATTTGAAACCATTGCGGGGTTTGTGACAGCAGCAGCAGCAGCGCCGCCACGATGATGATGATAGGGTTTGGTGTTGTCACCGTTTGTGTATTGTCGGGGGGGGGGGGCCGCACTGAAGGCCAACAGGGGCTGCCAGTAGCCACACGGGGGGCCTATCAGGGAACGACACTGGCCTACATGATTACACAGAGCAGTGGCACAAGCGGTGGTTTGCACCACTGTGCTACAGAAGCCGGCGACCCAACCTAATCTCGCTTAATACTAAAACTTCATTTGGAGCTTTCGTGACTGCAGGAATTATATGTCTATATGTCTCTGGTTCTGTGTTTGATCTCTTTCTCTCAAATGTAGCATTCTCAGGAAGAACGTAATCAACCAGGTAGGGTGTCTGTTATGTTATCCGACTCTCTGTTGTATTACATTACATTTCTAAGTATACTAGATTTGTGTTTCTATTTCATTTATACCTGATGATGATTGCTTGTGTTGGAATCGAAACGTCGTATGCTAGTATTTAATTCATTATTTTATCTTTATACGTGACTTTACCCAAAGAACCAAAGAGTCGCTTTATACTTTCCGTGAAGAGCGCCTTTTACTCAGGGCGCTGGGTGTAGTTTAAAAACGCGGTGACGGAAGAAAACAATTTCGATGGGAGGGGACGTGCCAGGGTTTTAGCAAGGGGTGACTGACAGAGGGGTAGTTGGGGATGGCCGAGAGGGCACGGGAGGGACGGGAATGAGTGGAGGGGCCCAAGGGGAGAGAAAAAGAGGAAGAGTTCAATTCGTGACGACGGCGAACGCCGGCAGCGAGCGATATCTAGGAGCGATCCTTCACCATAACCCACACAGACCACCGCGTTCAGGGTGTCGCGCGACTGTGAGGCATGGGGACGCCTTCATCCAGCAGTGGAGAGACCAACTCACCGCCGGTGCACGGGGCACCCGCGGTGGTGGAATTGACGAGGGCTCGCAACTCGCGGCAACGCTTCAGAACACCCTGTGCCTCGACTGACGTCATCACGGGAAAAAAAGGCCACGTGTAAACATTTTAAATTCTTTTTTTTTCCCCCCCATGTTCTCCCTTCGAGAGTTCAAACGCACGTTTGGGATGGCTGCATGCCTCCAGCTCTGTCTCTTTTATCTCCGAGAGAGAGCGTGCGAGCTGCTTAAATGAAAACAAGCTACGGTGCTCCGGGCTAAAGATTCACCTCCTCGCCTCCCTTCCTCCTCCTTCCCCCACCCCCCTCCTTGTCCACCGCAGGGATTCCATGAATGTTCCCTGAATCAAAAATAAATTCTCTGATATTTCCGTAAATGTCCGTATGATTATTATTATTATTGCGTTTGTTCAAACAGATAAGGGCTCGCTGAATCCCCCATGACTCTTTCTCCGGAAGGATCTTGTCAAGTTTTTTTGTGGCGATCGCTACGAACGATTCCGATTGGCTAATGTTGCGGATCATGGTTGCAAAATGGCAAACGTTTGGTCCTTTGACTACCAGTGCACAGTGGCCTGCTGTTTTTTGCGAATTGCATCGAGGGATCTGTAACGTCCGCTGCGAAGCACACGGTGACCCACGGTCTGCGAATTTGGCGGTGGTGCAGTGTGGGATCACGTGACACGTGCTTTGTGAATGGTTCGTTTCGTGGGGCATTGCGAGATCACGTGACCCACGGTCTGCGAATCGGCGGTGCGAAGCGTGGGATCACGTGACCCTCGGTCTCGCTCTGGTGACCGCAGCAGTCACGTCGCGCGCTGCTGCCACCTTCATTTTCCGTCGACGAAGGCAGGCCACCGCGCCCCGTCCGGGGCAGTTTAGCGCCGAGGGCCGCTCGAACCTCTAAACCCCCCCACCCTCACCGGGCCTCACGTCACACATGAGCGTGACCCCCGGCGATCCGGCGGATCCGAAGTCGGCGGCGGACGAGGCGGACGAAGCGGAAATGAGCTCGGCGTGCGGCCCCGGCAGGAAGCGAGGGGGTCCGGCGGGGCTGCCCCCGCTGCCCCCGCTGCCCCCGCTGCCCCCGGAGCCCACGTGCTGCCCCTCCGCTCTCCGCTGCTGTTCAGCGCCTGCGGGAGAATTGGCAAAAAGCGCCGGCGCTGTCAGCGGAAAGGCGCGCAAACGCTCGCCATGCTGGTTTTGCTTCTTTGGATTTTTTTGTTTTCTTCAACAGAGCAAAGGGTGAGAGAGAGAGAAGAGCAGAGCCGGGATTTGTGAAGTGTAAGGTCGCACTCACGGTGAGCATGACGACAATTGATAACACTGGTCAACAACATAAAAAAAACTTTTTTTCTGGCCTGGACTTTTGCAGCTGTTTTAGACTATCTTCTTGGTTCTTTCGGTAAAGTAATGTAGAAGGGGAGCAATAAAATAAGAAAGTAATAAAAATAAAACATAATGAAATAATATAGTAAAATAATATAATAAAATAATAAAATAATATAATATGTTTTAGACTAATTTCAGGACGCTGATTCCAAATCTGATCTCAGATTTGCTCTATCACATCATTTTTATGCTATCGGCATACCCCATTTTCATTGATTTTACCAGAAATTAACTCTGTCACTTATGATTGCAAGTTGTTGCGAGTCAGTGACTGCTTTAGCGTTAAAATATGGTGCTGTATTTTTAGGATAGTGTGTTTATAATATTATTTATATGTAGATATCCACATCTTCTTGGTTCTTTCGGTAAAGTCACGTAGAAGGGAAGTAATAAAATAATAAAAATAAAACATAATAAAACAATTCTCACGACGTTTCGGCCACAACGCAAGCAGCCGTCCTCAGGTGAAGAATGAGACAATGCCAAGCTAGGAGCTTATATATAAGCTGCGTTGGAGGTGGAAGAAAGAGCGCCTTAACAAAAGAATGTGCATATGAAGAGGAATTTAGCATATACATGGAAAATGCGTAGGAGGTGGGCGGGGGGGTTTCAAAGTCATATTATGCCCATGCATTATGCAGGATCAACAGCACCAAGGGGGGGTGCAGGGATTAGCAGTAACAAAGGAAAGGAATGTTAATGATATGTAGCTGCAGTTACTCAACAACCACGTAGAAAACTAAAGTATAAACTACATAAAAAACTAAAGTATAAATTGCATAGCACCATCAGTATACTTACTATACTCTACACTAAGCTGAGTTACTAACAGCAAGTAATACATTACAATTCTACGTCGTAAAAATTATATTATATGCTTCCATCTAAACTTTATTCTATTGTATCACACGAGCATATACCGTACTATATACTGCCAACATTAAATTATATACTGTATTGCTGTAAACCAACCTATACCTTATACATTTAATATAACACTATGTATTATTCTACCCACCCTAATGTGTGTCGAAATGGTTTATTACGTCCTTCCAATGTTATTATGTTTTTATTATGTTTTATTACTTCCCTTCTACGTGACTTTACCGAAAGAACCAAGAAGATGAATCCCTGCAGTCACGAAAGCTTTAAATCGAAATTTAGATATCCACATTTATTTTATATTTTTCTTCTGCAGTTTTTATTGAAAATGCAATATTTGATATCTCAAAAACCTGATGTGATAGACAAAAACTGATGCCAGATTTGGAATCAGCACCCCAAAATTTCCTAAAAACCGTTGGAATACCTTGTGCCAGAAAAGGTGTGTTGATCAGTGTTATCAGAGAATGTTTTTTGTGTATTCCTCACCTTTTTCGATTTAAAGCTTTCGTGACTGCAGGGATTCATCTTCTTGGTTCTTTCGGTAAAGTCACGTAGAAGGGAAGTAATAAAATAACAAAAATAAAACATAATAAAATAATTCTCACGACGTTTCGGCCACAACGCAAGCAGCCGTCCTCAGGTGAAGACCAGGTCTGTCGAGGACACAGCGTCTGAATGAATGAGACAGCGTCTGAATGAATGACGCTGTCTCCCCGACAGACCTGCTCTCCACCTGAGGACGGCTGCTTGCGTTGTGGCCGAAACGTCGTGAGAATTATTTAATTATGTTTTATTTTTATTATTTTATTACTTCCCTTCTACGTGACTTTACCGAAAGAACCAAGAAGATATTCCTCACCTGTTCTCTCAGCGCCGTGTCGCCGTGTGGGCCGAACCCGGCTTTCCCTCCACCGGAGCAGACACTCGATGCCTTTGCAGGTGCCAGCGGCAGCCAGATCGTCGGCAGGGTGCGGCCAGCTGCCCGCCGACTCTGCGAAATCACGGCAACGTCGGCTAATTCGGTGGTGCGCTTTCGACGGGCGCCATGAGGCCGCGCTCATTATGAGGTCGTGCTCGTCGCAAGCACAAAGTGCTTGACCCCAAGGCCGTAGACAATGGAGTCAACATTGGGGGGGACCAAATCTTCCAGGGGGTCCCAAACCAGAAAAATATCTAAATTTGAAAACTAATTTCCTGCCATTTCCTGCCTATAATATTAAAAAAATTCACTAACACATAGGATGGATTTTTTTTTTTTACAATAATGTCTAATAGTGTATTGTATTACATTGCTCTGTTTTTACTTTTTTTACCATTTCTTGTTTTATTATATGTAATGTTTGAGATTAGGGATTAATAAAGTACAACCATAACCACAATCATATAAACAGAAATCTATGCATTGATTTATGTGACGACAAATCCAGATATTGTGGCCAAGGTTTAGCAAATTTTTGTTTTTATCTACATAGCATAGCAATTATTTTTACTTTTTTATATTTTTATAGCAATATAGTTGGGGGGGACATTTTGATCATATTTGAATATTGGGGGGGATGAGTGTCCCCCGCAATATATATTATAATTACGGCCTTGCTTGACGCAAATGAACCACGACACATGGCTGATATCATCAAGAAGCAAACGCCATCAGGCGAGCTCCGGTCATCCTCACAGCAGCGACTTTTGGCTGGCCAACGAACAAAGACGTAGGTCACCGCATCGCACGGCGCTTTGAGGTGCACTTCTGCGGCCGTCTGGAACGCTCTTCCTTCTGATATTAGGAAGCCGCTGGAGCTACGCAACTTTTTAAATCGTCTAGATTATAAAATAATTTCTTTAGAAATTAGTTTTGTATGTTTAGTTCGTTGTCCTTCCCCCGCACCTCTGATTTGCACGGTCGGCTGCGTACGGCGTGAAAGAAGTTCAACGCACGGACATACACACACACGCATGGCAGAGGTGCATTATGGATGTAACAATTCAACTCCCACCCAGAACACGTGAATCGTCGCCACTCAAGATTGCAATTGTATTTTTTTCTCTCTTCTTTCTTTCTCTCTCTCTTGGGAAGCCGGCGGCAGTTGAAGCAATCGAGGGGCGAGTTTCTCAAATCGCCCCAAGTGGCAGTGCCGCATCCTCCACGTGCTCAATCGTTGTCCAGCCCGGCACGACAAAATCTCGGCTGGCGATTCCAGAGGTGAATGGGGGGGGGGAGGAAAGAGGCTCACCTCGGCCGTGAGCGGTGCCCTCCAGGAAGCCTGCGCCGTGGTGGTACGGGGCGTGGTGGTGGTGGTGAGCGGCGGTGGTGGTGGTGGCACACTCGGCACCGTGGCAGGGGACCGCCGGCTGTCTCGGCTGGGGGCAGTGGGGGCCCTGGCAGGAGTTTCTTCCCTCCGACGGCCACGGCATGAGCAGCAGTCGTGGCAGGAGCAGCGGCAGCAGGCGAACCACCGCCACCTTGGTCATGGTCTCTCCACCTCCTTCTCCTCGCAAGAGCAGCACTCTGCAAAAAAACAACAAAAACAGTGGGAGAGAGGGCGGTGGCGAGGGGGAATTGAACTTGTATCAGGCCCTATTTAAAACTATTTTTATTTAAGCAGGTAAAGTCCCACTGAGCTGTTTCGTTGTTTTTTTCAGAAGCAACCTGGCTATCACAAATTGTAGCACAACGAAGTGGGCTCATCATCATCGTGTGGAAATTCATGAGCATCCAAATACTCTAAAATGCGCGACATTGATTCTAAATGTGGAAGGAAAAACCGGACGACCCGGAGAAAAATCCACGCGATCACGGCGAGAAAGAAAGAGACACGCAAACTCCAAATATACAGCAGCAGGCGTCAGGGTCGGTATCGAACCCACGACCTCCTGTATACCAGGCGAGGTAGTTAACATCTCCTAGCCACCGTGATGATGATGAGAGAGAGAAAGAGACACGTAAACTCCAAATATACAGCAGCAGGCGTCAGGGTCGGTATCAAACCCACGACCTTCTGCATACCAGGAAAGGTAGCCAACATCTCGCCTGTGGTATGTGATGTACCGCCTCCAACTCTTCTCCACTCTCTGGCCTCTCTGTGCGCTGTGACGATGGGCCATTGTGCAAGACGTCCTCTCTTGTTAAACTATTTCAAGGCCGCGGTCGTGTTAACTGTCGTATGTGCTGCCACACCGGTGCAGATAATAGAACCTGATCCGTGCTCAAAGCCGGTCATCGGCAGCCCTCCTTAGAGCTGGAACGATTAGTCAATTAAGTCACGCAATCAATTCAACTCTGTAATTTGCAATGAAGAAGGGATATTGCTTGAAACATCACCGATTATATATATTTTAGTTTAACACATAAGCTTTCGCAACCAATATTTTTCATAATATAGGTTTTTGGGTCAGATCGCGTTATTTATAAATGTGTCGTAAACCTCCACCACCCGACATGGCCAATCAGAAAAAAAAGTGTCACGTTGACAAAAGACAAATAGTTCACTGCTTTAGCCCACCAGTGTGTTGAAGAGTGAATGCACAACATTTACAATGTTTTGAGTAGTACGACGTTTCGCTGGTAATTACATCCAGCATCATCGGGTAATTCGCCAGAATCGGGTGGTGGAGGGTTACGACACATTTATAAATAACGCGATCTGACCCAAAAGCCTATATTATGAGTATATATATTTTAAATTTCTCCCCTTTATGGCAGACTTCATGTGCCGCACACACGGCTCACGCAGTGTCACGAGAAATTGAGAAGTTTCTTTCCCAGCATTTTCCGCGTCACCTGACTGAGCGTTGTCGATTGAACGGATCATGGGAAGAGTGACCCATTGCTTAAATAACACTGGTCAACAAAAAAAAAACAATTTCTGGCCTGGACTTTTGCAGCTGTTTAAGACTAATGTCAGGGTGCTGATTCCAATTCTGATCTCAGATTTGCTCAATCACATCTCATTTTTATGCTATCGGCATACCCCATTTTCATTGATTTTACCCGAAATTAGCTCTGTCACTTATGATTGCAAGTTATTGCGAGTCAGTGACTGCTTCCGTGTTAAAATATAGTGCTGTATTTTTTGGATAGTGTGTTTATGATTTCATTCTATGTAGATATACACATTTATTTAATATTTTTCTTCTGCAGTTTTTATTGAAAATGCAATATTTGATATCTGATGTGATAGATAAAAACTGATGCTAGATTTGGAATTAGCACCCCAAAATTTCCTAAAAACCGTTGGAATACCTTATGCCAGGAAAAGTGTGTTGACCAGTGTAATTGAAATGGCACAGCTATATCGAAGAATAATAATCGTTCAAATGTACGAGTCTTTCCATGCTAGGATCCCAATGCGCCACGCATGAGATGCGGGAAACAAAAACGGAGCCGGGGGCAAACCGAACGAACGAAAGATTTAAGACCAAACTGAAAGAGATGAGTTTTCAAAGCGGACTTAAATATATCTGACTCCGATTGCCTGATATCAAGTGGAAAGTGGCCGTCCATAAATGACGTCGTGAGAATTTCTATTGTTTTATATTTATATTATTTTATTATTTCCCTTATACGTGACGTTACCGAAAGAGCCAAGACTATGAATCCCTGCAGTCACGAAAGCTTTAAATCTAAATCTATTTGTCTTTTGTCAACGTTAAACTTTTTTTTTGCTGATTGGCCGTGTCGAGTGGTGGAGGGTTACGACACATTTATAAATAATAACGCGATCTAAACCCAAAAACTTGATTATGAATAATATTGGTTGCGAAAGCCTGCCATGTGTTAAACTGCTTTTTCACCTCGATTGCAATCCTCGCGTTCTTCTTGACCGGAACCCCACGGACGGTCGCCTCGTTCATACCATAAATGTTGCAAAGCGAGTCGATGCCCCCCCCCCGCCCACGGGAGAAGGGGGGGGTTTCTCACAATCCGTAATCGTGCCCAAGTTCGATACCTGCAAAAGTTGGATACTTGGAGGCGCTTTTACGCGCGCTGTCCTTGATTTGACAGATCCACCGCCCAACGAGGCCCTCCCGGCATGCCGCACCACGCTGGCAGTGAGGATGTGTGAACGCGGGGAGTTACAGATCGCCGCCGCGTCAAACGATCAGCACGGTCGGCTACGTACGGTGCGAAAGAAGTTCAACATACAGACCCATAGACTCACACAGAGACCCATAGACTCACACAGAGACCCATAGACTCACACAGAGACCCATAGACTCACACAGAGACCCATAGACTCACACAGAGACCCATAGACTCACACAGAGACCCATAGACTCACACAGAGACCCATAGACTCACACAGAGACCCATAGACTCACACAGAGACCCATAGACTCACACAGAGACCCATAGACTCACACAGAGACCCATAGGCTCACACAGAGACCCATAGGCTCACACAGAGACCCATAGACTCACACAGAGACCCATAGACTCACACAGAGACCCATAGACTCACACAGAGACCCATAGACTCACACAGAGACCCATAGACTCACACGGAGACACATAGACTCACACGGAGACCCATAGACTCACACAGAGACCCATAGACTCACACAGAGACCCATAGACTCACACAGAGACCAATAGACTCACGCAGAGACCCATAGACTCACACAGAGACCCATAGACTCACACAGAGACCCATAGACCCACACAGAGACCCATAGACCCACACAGAGACCCATAGACTCACACAGAGACCCATAGACTCACACAGAGACCCATAGACTCACACAGAGACCCATAGACTCACACAGAGACCCATAGACTCACACAGAGACCCATAGACTCACACAGAGACCAATAGACTCACACAGAGACCCATAGACTCACACAGAGACCCATAGACTCACACAGAGACCCATAGACTCACACAGAGACCCATAGACTCACACAGAGACCCATAGACTTACACAGAGACCCATAGACTCACACAGAGACCCATAGACTCACACCGAGACCCATAGACCCACATAGAGACTCATAGACTCACGCAGAGACCCATAGAGTCACGCAGAGACCCATAGACTCACACAGAGACCCATAGACTTACACAGAGACCCATAGACTCACACAGAGACCCATAGACTCACACAGAGACCCATAGACACACAGAGACCCATATACTCACACAGAGACCCATAGACTCACAAAGAGACCCATAGACTCACACAGAGACCCATAGACTCACAAAGAGACCCATAGACTCACACAGAGACCCATACTCACAAAGAGACCCATAGACTCACACCGAGACCCATAGACCCACATAGAGACTCATAGACTCACACAGAGACCCATAGACTCACACCGAGACCCATAGACCCACATAGAGACCCATAGACTCACACAGAGACCCACAGTTTGTTGTCCTTCCCCCCGCACCTCCGATTAGCGCTGTTGGCCACGTACGGCGCGAAAGAAGTTCAAAACGTAGCAGCGACCGAGTCAACGGGCAACGCTTTAGATCGTGCATCGCTTTGTGCTGAAAAAAGACACCGTGTATATACTGCGAGTATTAAAAGTGCCACGCGTGTTCCCTTATTGTGTTTATTCAACGAGTAAGGACAATATTAGTCTCGGGATGTCGTGCGCTGCATTGAGAGCGGAGGAAAAAGAAGGTCAGCGAGCCGGGGCTAGAACAATAACACTTTGCAAAAACGTGACCGTCACATTGTTGACTCTTGCCAATATCTGCTCTGCTCGTGACAGTACCACGACCACCAAAGTCATCCCGTGGGAGGGTTCGCTTCCTCCTCTGCCTCCACCCCTCCCTCCCTCCTCGGTTTGTCGGTGGCCAGATGTCGACGCAGCAACGACATTATTTAATCCATCCGTGCGGAGCTTCGCGTGCAACGCACTCGAAGTGCGCCACGTGGGTTGTATTTTTTTCTTCTTCTTCTAGATTTGAAGTTTTCGTGACTGCAAGGATTCATACACGGTCGTAAGCGCGCAAGCAAGCAAGCAAGTGAACTTAATATAAAGGATTTAAAAACGCAATACTCTTTGGTTTTTTCGGAAAAGTCACGTAGGTAAAAAAATTAAATAAATTAAATCACGACGTTTCGAGCGCAACACAAGCGTCCTTCTTCAGGTGGTGACAACTTGGCGAAAGCACAACCGCTTAAGTGTATCTCAGAGGTGACGAGTAATTATGGTAATTACGCCACCGCTGAGACACGCTTAAGTTGTCCCCACCTGAAGAAGGACGCTTGTGTTGCGCACGAAACGTCGTGATTTAATTTAGTTTAATTACTTTCCCACGTGACTTTTCCGAAAAAACCAAAGAGTATTGCGTTTTTAAATCCTTTATATTAAGTTCACTTGCGTGCTTGCTTGCGCGCTAACGACCGTGCAAATCTTTCGGTCGTTTTTTAACCCACTTCCCGTGATCCAAGCGAGCTGACATTTTGCACACAGACTCGTTGTGCGTGACAATTAATTTTCGTGAAATTTTTTTTCCATAACTTTACACTTTCTAAGAATTTTTTTTTATATTTAATTACCAATTGCTTAATGGTGGCAGGCAATCATCTGACCCATAGGTGGCAGCCATCTCAAGCCAGAGGACGAGAGGACTCTAGCCGCCACGCATATAAAGGATTTATAGTGAAAAAACTTTGTTTTTACGGGTTACATTTTTTTTGGTTTTCTTCTTCTCGACATTCGCTCAGAAACGTTTCTGCAAGGCGCACGAGTTGGTAGCGCTCGACTATTTAGGCGATTCACGACTTGCATCGATGTTTTGTTATCGCCGGACCGTGGGGGGATTTTTTTTAGTTTCCCCTCTGGGAGTTAAAGAGAAAAACGTGACGACAATGTCGTGCCAAAGCGACAACACAGAGGCGCGCATGCCCCTCGTACGTTGGGCCCCAACGTTCACCCACGTTGGCATGTCGTTGGAACCAACGTTGGCCAACGTTGGTCCCCAACATTGGCACAACGTTGGCATGTCGTTGCAACCAACGTTGGGCCCCAACATTGGCACAACGTTGGCATGTCGTTGCAACCAACGTTGGGCCCCAACATTGGCACAACGTTGGCATGTTCGTTGCAACCAACGTTGGGCCCCAACATTGGCACAACGTTGGCATGTCGTTGCAACCAACGTTGGGCCCCAACATTGGCACAACGTTGGCATGTCGTTGCAACCAACGTTGGGCCCCAACATTGGCACAACGTTGGCATGTCGTTGCAACCAACGTTGGGCCCCAACATTGGCACAACGTTGGCATGTCGTTGCAACCAACGTTGGGCCCCAACATTGGCACAACGTTGGCATGTCGTTGCAACCAACGTTGGTCCCCAACATTGGCACACACGTTGGCATGTCGTTGCAACCAACGTTGGTCCCCAACATTGGCACAACGTTGGCATGTCGTTGCAACCAACGTTGGTCCCCAACATTGGCACAACGTTGGCATGTCGTTGCAACCAACGTTGGTCCCCAACATTGGCACAACGTTGGCATGTCGTTGCAACCAACGTTGGTCCCCAACATTGGCACAACTTTGGCATGTCGTTGCAACCACGTTGGGCCCCAACATTGGTACAGACGTTGGCACGTCGTTGGAATCAACGTTGGGCTCCAACGTTGCGCCAACGTTGCTCCCCAACATTGGTACAACGTTGACATGTCGTTGGAACCAACGTCGGGCCCCAACGTTGCGCCAACGTCGGTCCCCAACATTGTTACAACGTTGGCGTGTCCGCGCGTGTTCGCGACGCTGCGCCAAAAGTCGTCCCAACGTCGCGCACACCAAACTCGCAACGCTCCGGTGCTCGACTGGGGGTGAGCACGACTCGACCCAGCCCCCCCCCCCCCCGTCTGTGATACTGCGAGCACCACCACCACCATCAGCCCCCCCCCCGGCCCCCCAAACAACAGCGCGCCTCTCCACGCAGCAGCGGTGAAACTCCTCCGGGCGAGGCACATTTGGTCTCGCTGTGCGCGTATTGATGCCAGAACGCGAGCGGCACCACACATTGCGTGGTGGTGGGGAGGGGGGGGGGGGGCGAGAGGCCCCAACAGCTTCTAATTCGGGCGAATTAAAACTAAAATTCTATACAGAAATAAAACGAACCCTCCACCAAAGGGACACGAAGCCACGAGCTCTCACTGTACCGGTGGTCGAAAGTCGCTTGCAAGGAGCGTGGATGTGGGTAAGGGTGGGTCAGGGGAGAGGAGGGGTCGAGAGAAAGTTGCCGGTGCCGCTGAGATGAGGAGCGGACGAGAAGGGAGTCACCGACACGTGGCGAGCGGGGTCCGCTTACCTGCCCGGGACGAACTGCTGCCCGGAGCGACTGAGAGGAGGCAGAGGTTTGTGTCGTGCACAAGATCCCTCCTCCTCCTCCCTACGCCCTCCTCCTCCCTCATCCTCCTCCTCCCTCTTCCCTCCACATTTCCCGCCCTCTCCCCTCCTCCCTCCCTCCACCTCCCTCCCTCATCCCTCCCTCCTCCTCCCTCCTCATCTCCCGCCCTCTCCCCTCCTCATCCCTCCTCCCTCCCTCATCCCTCCCTCCTCATCCCTCCCCTTCCCTCCTCCTCCCTCCTCATCTCCCGCCCTCTCCCCTCCTCCCTCTCTCCTCATCCCTCCTCCTCCCTCCTCCTCCCTCCTCATCTCCCGCCCTCTCCCATCCTGCCTCCCTCCTCATCCCTCCTCATCCCTCCTCCTCCTCCCTCCTCATCCCTCCTCCCTCCTCCTCCTCCCTCCCTCCTACTCCCTTCCTCATCCTCCTCCCTCCCCTCCCTCCTCCCTCCGCCTCCCTCCTCCCTCCCTCCCTCCTCCTCCCTCCTCCTCCCTCCTCTCCCCCTCCCCCTCCCTCCACATCTCCCGCCCTCTCCCCTCCTCCCTCCTCCCTCCACCCTCCTCCACCCTCCTCCCTCCCTCCTCCCTCCACCCTCCACATCTCCCGCCCTCTCCCCTCCTCCTCGTCTCCTCCCTCCCTCTCTTTTTTTTTTTACGATCAGTGGAAACAAGAAGATGCTCGGTGTATTCGGCACTTTGTTTCGGGCTTTATGTTGCCCTCGCTCGCTCGCTCTCTCGCTCACTCGCTCTCCTCGCTCGCTCTCATCGCTCGCTCTCTTTTTTTTTTTTTAAAATCGGATAATCATTTATGGATGAGCCGCAAGTATCGATTCCGAACGACGCGCCTGTGCATCGCTACTTGCCTACGAAAGCGACTCTCGCCGTACATGACACAGCCAATGGTAGATAGACTCGGCGTGAGGTTCACCGCCACGGAGGACGCAGGGATGGAGCTGCGTGAAGCGTGAGTCATCGTCACAGTCACCATCATCCACGATCGAACCGCTCCTTCAAACCCGTCGCTCTCTCGCTCTCTCTCACTCGCTCTCTCTCTCGCTCATTCTCTCGCTCACTCTCTCGTTATTTACGCCGCCCCCCTCGCAGTCCTATGGCCTCCGACGGGTAGCTCATAACAGCATGCAGAGCTCCCCGTCATCTGCCACGGAGCACACGGCCTCCTCCATCGCCCACTGCTCCTTGAAGGCCGGCACGGCGTGGGTCCCTCTCGTCTCCTCCCTCTTCCCGCCTCTCCCCATCCCTCCCGCCCTCATCCTTGATCCTCATCTCACGCCCTCCTGCCTCGCCCCTCCTCTCCCTCCACATTCGGCCCACCTCCATTCGTTCTTTCTCATCCCCTCCACCAAATCTTCGAAACTAAACTCACATTGTGTGTTTAATGTTAGCAGGTAAAGGCCTCGCTGAGCTGATGTGTAGCTATTTTTTCAGAAGCGATCCTGGCCACCACCACCATCATCGTCATCACCACCACCACCACGTGGAAATGTGTAGCAGCAGCCAAAAACTCGAAACGCGTGGCGATGTGGATTCTGAATGCGGAGGGGGAAGAAACGGAGGAAACGGAGAAAAATTCGCGTGACCACGGGGAGAGAGAGACACGCAAACTCCAAATATACAGCAGCAGGCGTCAGGGTTGAGATCGAACTCACGACCTCCTGTATACCAGGCGAGATAGTTAACATCTCCTAGCCACCGTGATGATGATGAGAGAGAGAGACACGCAAACTTCAAATATACAGCAGCAGGCGTCAGGGTTGAGATCGAACTCACGACCTCCTGCATACCAGGCGAGGTAGTTAACATCTCCTAGCCACCGTGATGATGATGATGAGAGAGAGACACGCAAACTCCAAATATACAGCAGCAGGCGTCACGGTTGAGATCGAACCCACGACCTCCTACATACCAGGCGAGGCAGTTAACATCTCCTAGCCACCGTGATGATGATGAGAGAGACACGCAAACTTCAAATATACAGCAGCAGGCGTCAGGGTCGCGATCGAACCCACGACCTCCTGTACACCAGGCGAGGTAGTTAACATCTCCTAGCCACCGTGGCGCCCCACTACCCTAATCCCTCCACCGCATCTCCTCCCTCATCTCCGACCACTCTTATCCTTCCTTCACATCTCATTTCCCCAACATTCCATCTTCTTTACAAATAAACACCAGTGGTGGGGAGGGCCGCTACATCATTTGATGATGGTGGTGGTGGTGGGTGTCTGTCATCGTTTGGGTATTGTCGGTGGGGAGGGGGGGGGCCTCACTTAAGGCCACCAGGGGCCCGTCAGTAGCCCCACGGGGGCCTTGCGATGACCAACACGTGGCCCACGCTGACACCCAAATCCGGAGTTGTTGTTGACGAGGGTTACCCACGCACGACACCGCTGGCTGAAGGGCCACAGCGTTTGCAACAATTGTTAGGGTTTGACAGCATCACGATGATGATGATGATGGGGTGGTGGGGTGTTGTCACTGTGTGTGTGTGGTCGGAGTGGGGGGGGGGTGGCCCGCACGTCAGAGGCGGCGCTAAAGGCCACGATGCCTTGCAGTGAAGACCCCCGTCTGGAGGGAGTCTTATTCTTAGGTTTTTTCGGTAAAGTCACCATGTAGGTAAAACATTAAAATTAATAAAAGTAAAATAAAATAAAAATCACGACGTTTCGGAGGCAACACAAGTCTCCGTCATCAGGTGGGACCGTCACAGCCAGATTTGCTGCATCACTTGAAGCCAGATTTGCTGCATCACTTGATGCAGCAAATCTGGCTGTGACGGTCCCACCTGATGACGGAGACTTGTGTTGCCTCCGAAACGTCGTGATTTTTATTTTATTTTACTTTTATTAATTTTAATGTTTCACCTACGTGACTTTACCGAAAAAACCTAAGAATATGAATCCTTGCAGTCACGAAAGCTTCAAATCTAGAACCACTGATAGCAGTGGCGTGAGAAAGTCATTGTAGGGATTGCCATCACCTCCCCCCCCCACCCCGTTACCTTGTTGGTGATTCACCTCTTAGCAGCTTAGCTGGTCGTTGGCACGCTCGCACGCACTTTAAAGCCCCCCCCCCCCCCCCAAATCAACCGACGGGAGGGAAATCGTCTCTGCTGCCTGGCACCACGTGGGTGACTGAGTGTGTGGTGAGACTCGTGAGACAGAGAGAGAGAGAGACATCTGTGAGTGTGTGTGAGACAGAGAGACACAGATAGAGACATATGTGAGTGTGTGTGAGACAGAGAGACATCTGTGTGTGTGAGACAGAGAGACACAGAGAGAGACATCTGTGTGTGTAGTGAGACAGAGAGACACAGAGACAGACATCTGTGAGTGTGTGTGAGACAGAGAGACACAGAGAGAGACATTTGTGTGTGTAGTGAGACAGAGAGACACAGAGAGACAGACATCTGTGAGTGTGTGTGAGACAGAGAGACACAGAGAGAGACATCTGTGTGTGTGAGACAGAGAGACACAGAGAGAGACATCTGTGTGTGTAGTGAGACAGAGAGGACACAAAGAGAGACATCTGTGAGTGTGTAGTGAGACAGAGAGAGACACAGAGAGACAGACATCTGTGTGTGTGTGTGAGACAGAGAGACACAGAGAGAGACATTTGTGTGTGTAGTGAGACAGAGAGACACAGAGAGACAGACATCTGTGAGTGTGTGTGAGACAGAGAGACACAGAGAGAGACATTTGTGTGTGTAGTGAGACAGAGAGACACAGAGAGAGACATTTGTGTGTAGTGAGACAGAGAGACACAGAGAAAGAGAGACATCTGTGTGTGTAGTGAGACAGAGAGACACAGAGAGACAGACATCTGTGAGTGTGTGAGACAGAGAGAGACATAGAGACAGACATCTGTGTGTGTAGTGAGACAGGGAGACACACAGAGAGAGACATCTCTGTGTGTAGTGAGACAGAGAGACACAGAGTGAGACATCTGTGTGTGTAGTGAGACAGAGAGAGACACACACAGAGAGACATTTGTGTGTGTAGTGAGACAGAGAGACACAGAGAGAGACATTTGTGAGTGTGTGTGAGACAGAGAGACACAGAGAGAGACATTTGTGAGTGTGTGTGAGACAGAGACACAGAGTGAGACATTTGTGAGTGTGTGTGAGACAGAGAGACACAGAGAGAGACATTTGTGAGTGTGTGTGAGACAGAGAGACACAGAGAGAGACATCCGTGAGTGTGTGTGAGACAGAGAGACACAGAGAGAGACATTTGTGAGTGTGTGTGAGACAGAGAGACACAGAGAGAGAGACATCTGTGAGTGTGTGTGAGACAGAGAGACACAGAGAGAGACATTTGTGATTGTGTGTGAGACAGAGAGACACAGAGAGAGAGACATCTGTGAGTGTGTGTGAGACAGAGACACAGAGAGAGACATCTGTGAGTGTGTGTGAGACAGAGAGACACAGAGAGAGAGATCTGTGAGTGTGTAGTGAGACAGAGAGACACAGAGAGAGAGAGACATCTGTGAGTGTGTGAGACAGAGAGACACAGAGAGACAGACATCTGTGTGTAGTGAGACAGAGAGACACAGAGAGACAGACATCTGTGTGAGTGTGTGAGACAGAGAGACACAGAGAGAGACATCTGTGAGTGTGAGTGAGACAGAGAGACACAGAGAGAGACATTTGTGAGTGTGTGAGACAGAGAGACACAGAGACAGACATCTGTGAGTGTGAGTGAGACAGAGAGACACAGAGAGAGACATTTGTGAGTGTGTGTGAGACAGAGAGACACAGAGAGAGAGATCTGTGAGTGTGTGTGAGACAGAGAGAGACACAGAGAGAGACATTTGTGTGTGTGTGAGACAGAGAGACACAGAGAGATAGACATTTGTGTGTGTAGTGAGACAGAGAGACACAGAGAGAGAGACATCTGTGTGTGTAGTGAGACAGAGAGACACAGAGAGAGAGAGACATCTGTGAGTGTGTGAGACAAAGAGACACACAGAGAGAGACATCTGTGTGTGTGTGAGACTCGTGAGACAGACAGAGACTTTGTGCAGTCAAACGCCCT